AAGAGTGTTCTAAGAACCTGCTGTGGTCTGCAAGAACTGCTCTCAGAACATTTCTGGCTGAGGTCGTCTTGGTTTAACACATCGGGTTAATGTTCTAATCATAGGTGCTGTATGTTTTTGAGCATGATTGGGTTTTAAGAGAATTAAGCGGTAGGCTTATAGGAATGTCGGGACGGTCGGTCCCTGCTCAAGTTTCCCTCATGCTAGTTCGCGCGTCGCGAACAACTGACCCTGCGAAGTACCCGAGCCCTTCGCATCAAGTGGCGAGAGAGCGGTTGGCGCACATGAGCCTTGGCAGCGGCGGCACTCGCCCGCCAGCCTCTCCTTTTTCTTCCTGCACCTTTCAGTTCCCCTCCCAGCAGCCATCCCAAAGTGGCGGCAGCTTCGCAGATCGCAGCCCCACAGGCATGGCGAGGTTCAACCTAAATCCCCGCTCGGTGCCCGCTATGATGTGCGCGGCAGTTTCGCAGTTCGCAGACCCCCAGGCACGGCGAGGTGTAGTCTGAATCTGCGCTCGGTACCCGCGATGCTGACCCCCACAGCTGCCTTCGCAGTTCGCAGTCCCCCAGGCTTGGCGAGGACTAGCCTGAATCCCCGCGCGGTACTCAAGATGTTTCCCCCCAGCAGCTTTCGAAAATGGCGACGGTTTCGCAGTCCGCACCCCCAGGACTGGTGATATCTAACCTGGATCTGTGCTCGATATTCACCATGCTGCCCCCCCAGCAGCCTTCGAAAGTGGCGACAGTTTCGCAGCTCGCACCGCCCCAAATTCGGTGAGGTTTAATTTGGATCTGCGCTCGGCACCCACTACGCTGGCCCCCCATCAGCCCTCGAAAGTGTTGGCAGTGTCGCAGTTCAAACCCCGAAGGCATGGCTAATACAGATAGGGAACACATGAGGAAGTAAAAGAGGGAGGACGAGAGGAGGAGGGAGAGGGGGGAGGCGGGAAGGACGACGGTGGAGGCCGCGATGCTGTATTCAAAATGGCCCTGCGACGTACCCGACCCAATTGCATCAAGTGACCCGAGCAAGTGGCCCAAAGGGTATGGATGCCGGCAATGCAGGAGCCGTCATTTGTTTTGGGTGGGTGGTAATGGGGGGTGACCCAGGTTGGGGGTGAAGAAAATGGCCCTAAAGGGGTCCTCTAGGGCCCCTTTTCGGCACTAGCTGTGTCCAAAAGGTCGGTTTTGTGGACTTCATGACTTCGCAGTAGCCTGCCTGCAATTCTCATGTCTCAGAGGGGTGTGTTTCATTGCATGTTCTCCATCGCCGTCTCCGCTTCTGGGGCACCCTGCGGCGTGCGCGCGCGATCGGACCTGCACTTGCACCTGTGTCCCAAAGGGACCCATAAGGGGCCCCTTTGGGTCGTCCCCCACTGCCACCCGCCCGATCGTTGATGCACGCGCGCTGGCTGCACAACCCACAGGACAGCGACAGGAAGGGCCAGGAGCGGGGCCCGAGGCTCGAGGAGGCAGGGGGCGGGGACGAGGGGCAGGACACGGACGGGAACGAAGGATTGCAACAAAAACCGAAGGATTGCAACAAAAACCAAGGATTGCAACAAAAACCAAAAATCAAAAACCAAAAACCAAAAACCAAGGGTTTTTGTTGCAATCCTTCGGTGTTTGTTGCAATTCTTCGGCCGAAGCGTCAAGGCGGCAGCAGCAGGGCGACACAGGGCGAAGGAGGCGGAGGAACCACGAGGAGCCTGACGACGGACGAGGGAGAAGGGAGGAGACAGGAGAGTGGCGATTCCATCAAGCGGCTCGCTGGGCAACGTCGCCCAGGCATCCCGAAGGATCAGGTGTCCACTGTGCCGGTGCAGGAAGCGAGCGAGGCCCGGCTCGCCCGTCCGCCTCTCTCTGCTGCCTCCCTGCGCGCTTTCGTGCGAGACCTATCACGCCAACGCCCGCAGGCGCGCCGCGAGGTCCGCGGGCGGCCCGCGGGAAAGGGAATCGAGCCCGGGGTCGCGTGTCATCGGCAGGCTGTCTACCTTCCCAGACCTCCTCGCGTGCGGAAGAAACCACGACGGGACGCTTTTCATGAGTGTTGGCCTCCAGGGGGGCCTCGCCGGGCCTCGGGGGCGTCAGGAAAGGATTCAGGATGAAACGCCAGCCCCCCGGAAGGGGTCCAGACCTTTGGGGGTCGACGTTGTGAACCAGAAAAAAAAAAACATGACGTCGGGGGTCTGGGTTCGTGGCCCTGGATGGCATCACGTGCAGAGGCGGCCAAGGGTCGTCCAGGTCCCCCGCCCCCTCGCGCCCGGCGTCGACAGGGACTCCGCGGTGCATTGTCTGGCCCCGGCAGGCCGCGGACGTCAGGGCATCGGCGTGGGAGGCCGACGGATGCCGGAGGGAGCGGATGCCACGATCGCCGAAGGAGCGGTTCGATTGGCGTCGGGGGCTGCAGCTGGCGTGCAAGCCGGCTGCAATTGCGCGTCGTATTTTCTCTGAACAACAGACAGACAGAATAAGTGAGAGGGGCGGAGGATATATTCTTATATCGGATTCGCAGCCCCCCAGGGGCGGCCAGGTCGATCCGAAGTCTGCGTAGGACGTCGCCCCGCTCGACCCCCCAGCAGCCCTCGAACGTTGCGCTGGTTTCGCAATCGCACCCCGCGTCAGACGGCGAGGTATAATTCGAGTTCCCATCTGGGCGTCGCTCCATTAGGCCCCCCAACCAAGCTTTCGAACGTGGCGACGGTTTCGCTGATTTCGGCCCCCGAAGGACGGCGAGGTGTAATCTGAGTCTGGTGGCGGCGTCAGTCCGCTGGGCCTCCCAGCGCAATCGTAAGTGTCGACAATTTCGCAGTTCGCAGCCCCCCCCAAAAAAAAAAATGACGAGGTCGACTCTGATTGTGGGTGGGGCGTCGCCCCGCTGGTCCCCCCGCGGCGGCCTGGGAACGTAACGACCGTTTCGCATGTTGCAGTCCTTCAGGGATGGCGAGATTTATGTTGCCTAAGTCAGGGCTCCATTTCAGACAGCGTTCCATGTAAAAAGAAACACAACAACGGAGGGCTGGGAGTCAAAACTATGATGGCGAAGGACCCGGCCATTCGCAGTTGTGAGTACCGCCATGTGGGCGGCGCTGCCGCTGGTGTTTTAAGCGTAACGCACTGCGGGGCCGCGAAAAGTGTGAGGAGTGCGCCGCATTGGGGCGGAGCCGCCACTGAGGCGTTCGGTGAAGCTTCCTATGGGGCAGCGAAGCGCTGTACGAGGTAGGGGAAACGCATGCGAGTACAGCCATTGGGGCCTTCGGTGGAGCCTTTTTATGCTAGGTGGGCGGGGGGCATGCATGCGAATGCAAACGCCGCCACTGGGGCCTTCGGTGGAGCTCCCGATTGGGCCATGACTCGCTGTATTGGGTGGGGGGAACGCATGCGGACACCGCCATTGGAGCCTTCGGTGAAACTCCCTATGGTGCCACGAAGCGCTGTAATGGGTGGGGGAGCCGCATGCGAGTGCAGCCACTGGGGCATTCTGTTGAGCTTCCTATGGAGTCACGAAGCGCTGTACAGGGTGGGGGTGACGCAGGCGGGCGGCGTCATTGGGGCCTTCGGTGAGTTCCCTGTGTCCACGAAACGCTGTACCGGGTGGGGGTGATGCATGCGGGCCGTTCCGTCCGACCAGAGTCGAGAGGCAAGCTTCCTGGAAAACTTGACGCTCCGAAAAAAATGGAGCGGGCTGCTTTTGGCCGTGCCCTCGCCGGACCTCGGGGAACCATGCATCGGGACTTCAGCCATCAAAAAACATCTCAGGACGAAAAACCGGCCCTGACGAAGTGGTCTGGACCTCCGGGGCCCATGCATCGAAAAATTGAAGCCGCCGGACGTCTGGGTTGTTGCATGAGTTTGACCCGACCGCGTCCAACCAGGGACTTCCGCCTCTGGAGACATCCAGGGATCGCTGGGGACCCAGGCCATTGGCGACTCAACGAATCTCGCCGGGGGGGGCGCCACTGTCTGAGGAGGAAGAGGAGGAAAAGGAGGAGGAGGAGGAGGCGGAGGAGGAATGCGAGGACGAAGAGGAGGAGGAATAATGACGAAGATGCAGAGGAGGAGGAGGAGGAGGAGGAGGAGGAGGACGAGGAGGAGGAGGAGTGCAAGGACGAAGAGGAGGAGGAAAATGAGGAAGATGCAGAGGAGGAGAAGGAGGAGGAGGAGGAGGTTTTCGTTCTCTGGAGGCTCCCCGAGGGCCAACGTCAGGGGGGGACCGGCTCAGAGGGGGGTGCATCGACCACCCATCGCCCGTTCGTCGCCGGCGGGGGCCCGAGGGCCCACCGCCCAGGAGCGTGCGGATTCGCTGTCGCAGGCCTGGCGCCGAGTCCTCGACGACGGTGCAGCGCCGACTGCAGATCTGTGCTTCCCCACCTCCTCCTCCTCGTCCTCCTCGTCCTCCCCCCGCCCTCTGCCAGCCCCCCCTCGAACGTTCCCTGCGCACGTCGTGCGCCGTCCAGGAGCGGCTCGGGATGAGGAGGCGGCCCCGGGGAAGGGCTCGAAGGAGCTCCAGGGGCCAGTGCCCTCGAGGGAGAGCCGGATCGTCGGAGGTGCGGGGTCATGCTTCAGTCGGGCCTGTTCCTCTACGGGGGGAGTATGCAAAAACAGTTATAAAAAGCAGTCTGGGGACGATGTTTCCATCATTTTCTGACTGTTGGTGAATCTGTTTGGAGTTTTGACTTTTTTTCCCCATGTTTCGTCCGAAATCCGCCTGTAGGAGGACATGCCCGACCTAATGCTATATTTGTCCCCCTTGCAGGCAGCGGGCATGAAGTGCACCTGGGCGACATCGACTGCGGGCCCCGCAGGAGCTCCAGAGGCAAGCAGGCCTCCGTGAACGAGGTCAACTCGCTCAAGGATCAGGAGGGGAAAAAACAGAGGCACAATGAATCGTCGATTCCCCAGAAAATATGAGAAAATATGGGGAATCCAGTTATTTGTGTTTATCTATTTGTGTGTCCCAGTTCCCCTTCAAAGGAGAGGGTGGAGAGGGCCACGCGGCGGATGAAGTACAACGTGGAGGACTTCTACTCGGACGAGGGGAGGTGGCAGGCCCTCGCGAGGAACAAGTACTTCGAGAGCGTCATGCTGGGCATCATAGGTCCGGGCCTCCCAGATGATCCCAGGGGGGGTCCGAGTGAACGGGTTCGGGTGATCGCGCCGCATCGCCGATGCATCGCCGATGCAGCTCGATGCGGAGCCCGGTTTTTTCTCTACGCGGGCGGCGCCGATGCATCGCTCACGTCGCCGACGCATCGCCGATGTATCGCCGATGTATTGGCGAGCCGGCGCGATCCTCCGATCCCATCTGCTCGGAACCCATCTAGGAGGCTCTTCACAGGGTTAAACTCGATCTGGATTTGGGTAGACACGGACTACAATGATGCGGAGACGCTTGTAGACGCCCACTGGGCGTTCCAGGTCGGCGAGAATATGTTTTGCTTGTGCTTCTCTTTCGAATGGTTGGTTCGGTTCATGGCTTTCAAGCGTAAGCTTAATTCGCTGAAGGACTCCTGGTTCGTTTTTGATTCGCTGCTGGTCCTCATGATGGTCGTCGAAACCTGGATCGTCACAGCCTACCTGGCGCTGTCCAGGGGGCCGTCGGACTCCAAGCTAGGCGCCGCTTCGATTCTGCGCCTCTTCCGCTTGCTGCGCCTCACACGGATGGTCCGGATGCTGAGGAGTTTCACCGAATTGATGATCCTTGTAAAAGGCATGTTGTCGGCAATGCGCTCCGTCACCACTGTAATACTGTTGCTATTCATCGTGATGTACGTGTTTGGGATCGCTATGACACAGCTCGCTGCTGGATCTGGTTCGGAGGAGAAGTATTTTTCCAATGTCGGGCACTCCATGTACACACTCCTTGTGTACGGAGTTTTCCTCGACAGTATTGCAAGATTGTGCAACGACGTGCGCAAGGATGGTGACTTCTACAGCGGCACTCTTGTGTGTCTGTTATTCTCATTCATCTTGATCGCTACGTTGACCGTGCTCAATATGTTGATCGGCGTTCTCTGCGAAGTGGTCAGCCGCGTAGCAGAAAAGGAGAGGAACGACATCGAGGTGGCGTCGGTGACGCAGAAGCTGAGGGAGGCAGTCGAGCTAATCGACGAGGATGGTAACATGCGCATCTCCCAGACGGAGTTCGCCCAGCTCTTGAGCAACCGCGGAGCCGTCATGGCGCTGAAGGCAGCAGAGGTGGATCCCGAGGAACTCGTGGACAACATGGCGTACATCTTTGCCAAGGCCGAGGCGCTGGATGGCGAGTACGAGCCGGCGCTGCACTTCCAGGACTTCATGGAGGTGCTGCTGGAGCTGCGCGGCACCAACATCGCAAAGGTGAGGGACGTCATCAAGTTTCAGAAGAGCATCGCCGCCCAGTTCCAGCAGGCCAAGCTGTCCCTCCTGCCGTCGACGAAGATGCGCGCGCACTGGAAGAACCTCGCCGCGGTGAGGAGAGGCTCCGTGGTCCCGGAAAGCTGCAAGAGCGGCATAGTGAGCAAGGTGGACAGCGGCGAGTCTCGCGTGTCCCACGCAGAGAGCAACACCGAGGACTCGAAGCCGAACAGCCTGCATATAAAAACACAAGCTTTCGGAGATCCGCGCGGATTCTGTCGAGCGGACAGGCGCTGGACCCCCCCTGGCGGCGCCTCTGGTGGTGCCCTTGGCGCGCTCCGCGCCCCGGGTGAGGGGGGCGGGGCAGCTCCGATGCAGGAGTCCGCGCAGAACTCCGAAGGCTGTGTGTGTGCGGTAATGCCAGTTGTCTTTCACGGAGGCCGCTCTTGGCAAGGCCTCCACATGTGGCGAGCGTTGTTCGGTTGGAGCCTGATTTGTTTTAGACTCGGGCAAGTTTACTTGCATGGCATTCGCCCTTTCCCCCCCCTCCCCCGCCCCTCGCCCCCCCTCAGACGAACACTGGCGTGCAAGTGCCTTTCGACTTGCGGCTTACTTCAGGTTCAAGCCCTCCCCGCCCATGCAAGCAAACTTGCCAGAGTCTAGGAACAAAAGCAGGCTCTTGAAGCCCGCGGGAGCAAAACACACCGTGTGCTCATGCCGGCTCACTAGACCTCCAACGCTGTGATTTCCGACGCCGTGATTTTTGCCACAACGTCGACCCCCAGCGGTCTGGAACCCTCCCCGGGGACCGGCTTCTCATCCTGAGTCTTTTTTGGACGACCCCAAGGCCCGGGAAGGGCCCCCGGAGGCCGAAAATACAGGACAGCCGCCCGCCGCGATTTTTTCACAACGCGCGGAGGTCTGGGTCCTCTTCTCCTACAGTGCCGTTTTAAGTACATGCTCCGCGTGCGGATCATGTATTAAAAATGCAGGGATTTAGTATTAAAGACAACGATGTGTTCATGCGTAAATTTATTCATATATTAACCATGTATAGAAAGTCCCATGTTTTTTTTTAAAATCCCATCTACTAAAAACTGCCCTCTATAGAGGACCTGCCCCGGGCGCCGCCTGCCGCGGCGCACGCGCCCGCGCCGGCGCCAGCCGGCGACGCCTCCGCCCTGCGGGAGGCCGCCGACGGATCCGCCTCGTGGCCGGTGGAGCGGCGCCGCCAGCCGAGCGCGGTGGAGCGCGGGGCGGCCCTCGTGGCGGGCTCGCGGCGCCCCTCGGCGCTGGCGTGGGAGGTGGCGGCCGACGGCGCCGCGGCGGCGTCGGCGGCGGCCTGCGGCGACGCCGTGCGGACGCTGGCGCGGCGCGCCCCGCGCGCGCCGGGCGGCCTGCGCCAGCTGCAGGACCATGGGCCCGTGTTGCACCGCCACTACCACAGGTAGGAGAGGGAGGAGGAGGAGGAGGAGGAGGAGGAGGAGGAGGAGGAGGAGGAACGAGGAGGAGGAGGAGGACGAGGAGGAGGACGAGGAGGAGGACCTCCTCCTCCTCCTCCTCCTCCTCCTCCTCCTCCTCCTCCTCCCTTCTCCCCCGTCCTTCTCCTCCTCCCTTCTCCCCCCTTCTACACACAGTAGTGGTGGTGGGAAACTTGCCCATCAGCAGGAGCGCACGGCCCGGCTGGAGGGCATGCTGGACCAGATCGTCCGGGAGGTGCAGCTCGTGAGCGCCCGCGCGGAGGCGCAGCAGCGGGCGCGGCCGCGCGACCTGGTGCGCGTGCCCGACTCCACGGGCGGCATCGACTGTTAGCGGCGGGCCCGCCTGCGCCCGATGCACGCGGGGGCCGTCCAGGCCCAGCTCCTTGCGCGCGCATCTTGGCGCTCACTGCCCTACCCTTCCGGCTCCACCTCCTCGTCGCCCTCCTCGGGCTTGGCTCCCTCCTTGGCTGTCCTCGACTGTCTTCCTCCTCCTCCTTCTGCGCTCCCGGCACCGTCAGAACTTGGCGATCACTCTTCTGAGCCGAGCCCCGGCTCGCAGCGCTGCCCTGCAATTTCCCCCGCAGTACTGCCGCGCGTCCTTGCTGCTCACCGGCCGACACTCACGCGGTAGGTCGGTAGCAACTCGTGGGTGTCGACTTGGCGCCCATTTAGTGTCGGTCAGTGTCGACTCGCAAGAGCCAGCAAGAGGACATGGGAGGCTTCCACTAGTTACCACAGAGCAGTCGGGCGGGAGGGTGGCACCGTAAACGACTTGCACGTGCGGAAACCACTTGCACGGCTTGCACTCGACTTGCTTGCACGCCAGTGTTCGTCTGAAGAGGGGCGAGGGGGGGGGGGGGGGGGCGAACACCATGCAAGTAAACTTGCCCGAGTCTAGAAAAGCAGGCTCTTGTAGGACTCGAAGCGGCCGTCGGATGTCTGGGGTTCTTGAGATGCCCGCTGGCCGACCCCGGCACAGCAGGGTGGGGGAGCCTCGCCGGCGGTCCGCCCGATGAACTGCCGCCTTGTTTCGAGTCGGGCATGTCCCTCTACAGGAGGAGTGTTCGGGAATAGCCAAGACATAGTCAAGGGACGATGCTTGAATGATTTCTGAACTGTTCTTGATTACGTCTAGGCTATTTCAAAGTTTTCGTCCGAAGTCCGCGTGTAGGAGAACATGCCCGACCTAAGCCTTGTCTCACGGTGCCCCAAGAGGGCCACTTGCATGTTGCCGTGCGCGCAGCAGCCCGCGCAGAGGACGCGCTCCGTCGCACGTCTCGACCCTGATCCGGACCCTGCCTGAACCAAAAGGACCTCCTCAGACATGATCGTGTCGTGCAAAAAAAGCACATGACGGGAGATGTTTGGCCGTTTTCGGCCTCGGCGGGCCCCCGCCGGGCCTCGGGACCGTCGCAGGGACGATTCAGGAGGAAAAGCCGGTCCTGAGGACAGGGTCGGGACTTCCAGGGACCTTGTATTGAACAAATCAGGACGTCGCAGGTCTGTGCCTGCAGGCTCGCCCATGTTTTCTGACCTGGCGTCGACATCGTCTTCGTCCTCGCCGCCAGCGTCGCCGTCTGCATCTCCCCGCACGGAGCGTCGCCCACAGCGGGGGTGGTGAGCGGGGAAAGGGGTAGTGGAGACATCAAACAAGAGGAAATGCGGATATTCAATTGCAGCAGTGAACATCAGGGGAGGCGGAGGGGTAATATCGGGAGAAGCTGCCCAGAGGCGGGACAGAGAGGAGCAGCAGGAGAAGGATGAGGATGAGGAGGAGGAGGAGGAGGAGAAGGAAGGGGAGGGGGAGGAAAACATACAGAAGACTTGGAGGAGGAGGAGGAGGAGGAGGAGGAGGAGGAGGAGGAGGGAGGAGCAGGGGGGAGGAGAGGAGAGGATAAGGATGAGGATGTTGATGAGGAGGAAGAGGAGGAGGAGGAGGAGGAGGAGAAGGAGGAGGAGGAGGAGGAACAGGAGAAGGAGGAAGAGGAGGAGGAGGAGGAGGAGGAGGAGGAGGGGGAGGAGCAGGGGGAGGACGACGAGCAGTAGGAGGAGATGCTGGGGTCCGCAGCCATTCTGGCTCAAGGCCCACTCTGGCCCCTTTGTGCGCCCGCCCCTGGGCGGGGGCGCCCAGGGCCGCAGGGCTGGCCCCCAGCACGGGTGGCCTCGACGCGTGACGAGCAACACCTGACGGTCAAGAGCCAGATGCTGCGCGAGACTGACCCCGCGATGTCGGCCGAGTGCCTCGGCATGGACAAGGTCACCAGCGTCACGCAAACGAGCTGGCTACGCGGCCCGTCACGGCCTGCAGCCGAAGGTTCAGGATCCGAGAATCCTGACTACGTCCGTCCCGGCGTTGGTCCCGAATCTTCGCGACCAGCAGAGCAAGCTAGTGGACGACCGCATAGTCACGTGGCAAGCAGCAGAACCTTAGTAACAATATTGACACGGTACGCGGCTGGCGAGTCAAAGTGGCCCATTGCGGACGACGAGGCCTACGGTTTCCGCGGCGATTTCCACGGCGAGATCCGCAGCTATGGCTTCGACAACGGCGGCGAGTACATCGACGGTGATTATGGTCCATCTGAGTACGGCAGCCACGAGTGCAACACAGATTTCGGCGTAATGCCTGGATTTTGACGGGGAGGCCATGGCGAAGGAGCGAGGACCCTGGATGCTATTACCCTGGTATCCAGGTACTGCGCCGTCGCTGCTGGCCAGCCAGATGGGAGTGGACCATGTGCTTTGGGCCGACAGCGACGATTGGACAGTGGATGCTTCGATAGTAAGGGGGGGGCCTTGCCCGAGCCATCAGCACCAGAGGAGCTACGATGTCCGCCAAAGCTTCGACGGCCAGCAGAGCTACATTGGCCATCAAAAGAAAGCAGGGCCATATGCAGAATTGCGAGGGTCACCAGCAGAGCCACGACGGACACCAGAGGGGCAACGAGGGTCACAATCATAGCCTCGACGGCAACACGCAGAGCTACGAGGGCCACTTGCGGTGTTAAGACAGGCGCCGCGCAGCTGTGCTATGAGGGCCACAGGCAGAGCTGGCACGACCAAGCTAAGAGGTACGAGGGACACTTGCAGAGCTACGCGGGCTACAAGCATGGTTTCGAGGGCCACCGGAACAGAAGAGCTACGAACGCCACCAGCAGTGCTAAGAGCCAGGGCAGGACAAATCACCTCTGCCCCCAGAATTCGCGTTTTCTAGACGGTCCTATGCATTTGCTAGACAGCTCCATCGGTTTCGTTTTGTTGTGTTTGTGCGTTTTCTAAAATCAAGTTTTGCTCGTGGGGGTGCTTGTTATGAGGGTGGTCATTCCGGTTCTGCCTCTGGCGAGAGTCAGAAGCAGAGCCCCGAGGCGGAGGCCACTTGCAAAGGTACGAAGGCCACCAGCAGAACTACGAGGGCCACCAGCAGAGCTACGACGGCAACGCGCAGTGCCCTGAGGGCACTTGCAGGGAAACTTGAGGCGCCAACAGAATGGCGAGAGCCACGAGCGGAGACATGAGGGTCAGATGAAGAGCTAAGAGAGCCAATGGTAGAGGTTCGCGGGCCACCAGCCGAGCTTGAAGGAATGTTCGCAGAGCCGCGACGGACACCAGCAGAGCAACGAGGGCCACAAACAGAGCCCCGAGGGCCACACGCAAAGCTGCGCAGGCCATCTGCAACGCTACGAAGGTCACCAGGAAAGCTACGAGGGCCACAAGCAGAGCTACGACCGCTACGTGCAGTGCTACGAGGACCTCCGAGGGCCACGAGCGGAGCTACGAGGGCCAATGCGGATTGAGCCGCCCAGGACAAGCACGCGCTGAGATTCGTGGATGTCGCGGCGGCGTTCCCGAGCTTGTCGCGATGATGGTCCTGTGACGGGCTGGAGTCTGCGGGGTTGTCGCGCGGCTGGTCTGCGCGATGGTCCCCCCCCGCTCGGGTTCCCGCGCGTCTGCGGCAGGAGGTTGCCGTTGCTGGTGGCGCAAATGGATGGCTCAAGGACGCGCGCCAGGAGGTGCGATGTGGTCGAGCACCTTCAATCCCATCGCGCGCGCGCGCTCTCGCCGAATTCCGGCGCCTTCGGGGCGGGACTCGCGCGACCGCGCGCCGACGACCATCGCATCGTTGCCCAGCGCGTCCACCAGCTTTCCGCGCAAGCGCCGCGCTTCATTGCGGACGACACCATGTGGAACGCCCAGGAGGGTGCATGGGGCCCCGCATTGCCGCTCCCCGACGGCGCGTGGATGGGCGCGAAGGGGCCGACCCCAGGCGAGCCTGCTCGCCGTAGGCACCACATCTCTTGCCACGTCTTTTTGCCTCCCATGCTCCGCAGTCGCTGCATCTTGAACATGCCGTTCGTCCTGCCTGCGCCGGCAGTATTCTCTTCCGCGGTCCGCTCCATCATGTCAGCGTCTGGTTGTCCCGCCTGAATGCGCGCGCCGCCTATGGCATCGGCAAAAAACACGGCGCCGGTCCGGGCCCCGAAGCTTTGCAGGAGAAGCGGCTGTAGGAGGCCACAAGCGAACCCTACCCAACCACCCCACGATTTTTCTATGGGGGGAGGTGGAGTGGCGGGGTAGGGCTCGCACGTGGCCTCCTGAGCTTGGCGCGGCGCGCCCCGCGCAGCGGACTTCCGCGCGCCGAGGCAGCCGACTCGCGGCCAACTGCAGGTGGAGCAGCATCTCCGCGCTGGGGGTGCTCGGATGCACGCAGGCGGAGAGCCGCGCGGCCAGAGCGAGCTCGCGCGCGCGGCGCCGAGCGCCTTCGCGGGGGCAAGGCGCACGCATCATCTTAACGCGGCACGTCTGCCGGCAGACCGCCCGCGTAATCAAACGCAACAACGCCAGCGATACTTATGGATGTGCATAAAAAATCAGGCGTATTTTTCGCGGCACGTTTGCGAGATCCGCACGTCGGCCAGGGTCTACTCGAACGCACCGACGTGGAAGAGTCCGGCGACCGCCGCGACTTGCGGGAGGCGGAGCGCCATGGCGTGGGGGAGGGGGGGGGGGGGGGCGCTGGCCAGGGCCTGCCCGGCTTCCCGGAAGGAAAGTCGTCGCCCCCTGGTGGGAAAACACGTCGCGGCGATCACGTCGCGCTTCGTGCGGGTGGTCGGCGGGGCAGTTTCTCTCAGGATCTGGATCCTCTACAAACGGATGCTACGCTTCGAGGAGAAGGGGAATCGGCTCACTATCGAGGCGCACAGCGGAGCTGGTGGAGCGGCGGGGTAGTATGCCGCGAAGCCCGCGCCGGGCGAGACGGCGTTGGCCCAGCGGCGGAACACCCGCCGCCTCCGACGCGACATGCCAGTGGATTATGTTGGTGTTGCCTAGAACCACCGAAGAGCAGATCGAGCTGCAAATTCTGAGGGCCAGTTCGGGCGTGCAATGGAGCACGTTGGCTGCAAATGCGCCGCGCGTGGTGCTGCCTTCCCGGAAGACTCTGGCGGGCGGACGGATTGCGGCGACGCTCTTGACATGTTCCGACGTGGTCCGCTGGTGCGCCTTCGGATGCGAGAAGCAGCCCGACGAGATGGCCACAGTTGGAATTGTACGTATCCTTGGCATACCTTACTCACGTCGTTGGAACGCTTTCCTGCGCGCAGGCACGTCGCGAGTGCAGTCTTGCGCTGCGAGGCGGGTTACCGCTGGCTACCGCGCGCGTGGCTTCCCGCGACATCCTCAACAACTCCGACGCCGCGTCTGGTCACCAGACCTTCCACCACAGGGTGACCTTCACCGACGCCATGTGCGCAGCTTCGCCCTGTGCGCGGTGGCCCGTCAGCGACCGCGCAGCGAGGCCCGCTGGAGCCAAGGGCTCGCTCCGTCTCTCCATCCGTCATCGGCTGCGGTCGTGCCTCCTCCCCCTTCCTCTCTCCTCCCTCCCGTGCCGTTCCTCCCTCCCTCCCTAGCCCCTCCCTCCCCTCCTCTCTCCTCCCTCCCTCCCTCTCCTCCTCTCCCCTCCGCTCCCTTCCCCTCCCTCGCTCCCTCCCTCCCTCCCTCCCTCGCCTCACCTCCCTTCCCCCTCCCTCCCTCACCCTCCTCCTCCTCCTCCTCGTCCTCCCCCCCCCCGCCCCCGGGCGAACGAAAACGAACCGCGACGACGACGAGCCGCGGCAGCAGCGGTGGCGGCGGAGGCGGCGCTGGCGCTGGCGCTGGCGCTGGCGCTGCCGACAACGACGACGACGACGACGACGACGACGACGACGACGACGACGACGACGACGACGACGACGACGACGACGACGACGACACCGACGACCGACGACCGACGACCACGACGACACCGACGACACCGACGACGACAACCGACACCGACGACGTTGGCGACGGCGGCGGCGGCGACGGCGACGGCGACGGCGACTGCGACGACGACGTTGACGGCGACGGCGGCGACGACGACGGCGACGACGAAGACTACGCCGACGACGGACGACGACGACGACGGCGACGGCGACGGCGACGGCGACGGCGACGACGACGACGGCCGATTGCGACGGCGACGGCGACAGCGGCGACGACGGACGGCGACGGCGACGGCGACGACGACTGCGACGGCGACGGCGACGGCGACGGCGACGGCGACGGCGACGAGGACGACGACGACGACGACGACGACGACGACGACCGACGACCCACACCGACGACGATGACGACACCGGCGACGACGACAGCGACGACGACGGCGACGGCGACGGCGACGGCGAAAACGATCGCGACGGCGACGACGACGGTGGCGACGACGACGATAACGACGACGGCCGACGAAACGGGCGACGGCGTCGGCGATGGCGACGGCGACGGCGACGGCGACGGCGATGACGACGACGACGACGACGACGACGACGACGACGACGACGACGACGACGACGACGACGACGACGACGACCGACGACCGACGATCACGACGACACCGACGACGACGACGACAACCGACACCGACGACGTTGGCGGCGGCGGCGGCGGCGACGGCGACGGCGACAGCCGACTCCGACGACAATGTTGACGGCGACGGCTACGACGATGGCGACGGCGACGGCGACGGCGACAGCGACGACGACGACGGCGACTACGACGACGACGGCGACGACAACGACGACGACGACGACGACGACGACGACGACGACGACGGCGACGACGACGACGACGACGACGACGGCTGCGGCGACGACGACGACGACGACGACGACGACGACGACGACGACGACGGCCGACTGCGAGGGCGACGGCGACGACGTCGGCGACGGCGACGTCGACGGCGATGACGACGACGACGACGACGACGACGACGACGACGGCGACGGTAACGACGACGACGACGACCGACGACCGACTACGACGCCGACCACGACGACGACGACGACAACCGACACCGTCGACGATATCGATGGCGACGGCGACGACGACGACGACGTCGACGACGACGTCGACGGCGGCGACGGCGACGACAGCGACAGCGACGGCGTCGGCGACAACGACCACGACGGACTGTGACGGCGACGGCGACGAGGACGACGTCGGCGACGACGTCGGCGGCGACGACGACGACGACAGCGACAGCGACGGCGACGGCGACAGCGACCAACACGGACTGCGACGGCGACGGCGGCGGTTACGGCAACGACGACGACGACCATTGCGACGACGACGACGACGACGGCGGCGACGATGACGAAGACGTCGACGACGTCGACGGCGATGGTCAAAGTGACGGCGACGACGACGGCGACGGCGACGACGACGACGACAGCGACCACTTCGGACGGCGACGGCGACGGCGACGACGACGACGACGACGTCGACGGCCGACGGCAAGGGCGACTGCGACGGCAACGGCGACGGCGACGGCGACGGCGATAATGACGACGACGACGACGTCGACCGACGACGACGCCGACCACGACGACACCGACGGCGACGACGACCACCGACACCGACGACGTTGGCGACGGCGGCGGCGGCGACGGCGACGTCAACGGCGACGGCGACGGCGACGACGACTTTGACGGCGACGGCGACGACGACGACGACGACGACGACGGCGACGACGACGACGACGACAACGGCCGACGGCAAGGGCGACTGCGACGGCAAAGGCGACGGCGACGGCGACGGCGATAATGACGACGACGACGACTTCGATCGAGGACGACGCCGACCACGGCGACACCGACGACGACGACAACCGACACCGACGACAACGGCGACGGCGGCGGCGGCGACGGCGACGACGACGGCGAGGGCGACTGCGACGACGACTTTGACGGCGACGACGACGTCGACGACGACGACGACGACGACGACGGACGACGACGAAGGCGACGGCGACGGCGATGGTGAAAGTGACGACGTTGACGACCGCGTCGTCGAGGTGACGCTGACGGCGACGGCGATTGCGACGACGACGTCGAGGTGACGTGGTCGGCGACGTCGACGGCGGCGACGACGGCGACGGCGGCGACGACGACGAGGACGACGACGTTGACGACGACGACGACGACGATGACGACGATGACGACGACGACGACGACGATTGGCGACCCGCGCAGGCGCAGCCGCCGCCCGGCGCCTGCCCGGCCGGCGGCGCCGCGGGGCTCCCCACCTGCTGTGGAAGCCGCCCGCGCGTTCGCGCGAGCGGCGTCGGCGGGAAAGGAGCAGAAGAAGAAAATGGGCGTTTCCTCCTTCTCCTCCTCCTCCCCCTCCTCCTTCTTCTCCTCCTCCTCATCATCCTCCTCCTCCTCTCTCTCCTCCTCCTCCTCCTCCTCCTCCTTCTCCTCGTCCCCCCCCTCCTCTCCCTCCTCCTCCTCCTCCTCCTCCTCCTCCTCCTGCACGTAAGAGTGACCGTTGGTGCGGGCCCAATGGGGTTCTCCGATCGCGGAATGCGACGCGATAGCAGCGGACCGCGCGCCTGGGTGTGGTTCACCCGCGCCCACCCCCCGAAAAGCCGTGCACACGAGGTCGCTCTTGCCCAGGGTCATGATGGTGTGTATGCGAACCTCCTCGTTCCCGCGTCACCACAGGGTGGCAGCTTCCTCCGCCCGTCGGGAGTCGCGCTGATCTCTGGAGCGGGGTCTCCCGCCAGGCGGGGCTGCCTTGCCCCCCTCTGAAAAGCAGGGGGGGAGGCTCTCCCCGGGCATCTCCCAAGTCAAATGGTGCGGGCCGCATCCATAGTATCACCTAAGAGGTCCAGCTCGCTTTCAAGCAGTTACGGAAAGACCCGCAACGGCCTTCTCCTTATTTATCTTTAACCTTATACCGTTCGTCGTTCCTCGTTTCTCGTTATCCCTCCTCCTCTTTCCTCTTCGTGCCTCTTGCGTTCCTCTTCGTTCCTCTTCGTTCCTCCGTCTGGACGGACCGATGGTCTAGGTCGAGGATCCGCGGCGGACGTGCACCTTGTTTCGCGACCGTTCAAAGGCCGCGGAGTTGACAGCGCCGCCAGGGTTCTCTGGATGGCTTGGGGGGCAGTTTGCAGTCGCTGGGTGGGAGGATGAGAACAACGGCGAGGGGGAGTAGGAGTATGCAGGAGTAGGAGGAGGAGGGGAGGGAGGAGGAGGAGGAGGAGGAGGAGGAGGAGGAAGACGAGGAGGAGGAGGAGGAGGACGTACGAGGGGGAGGAGGAGGACGGAGGAGGAGGAGGACGGAGGAGGACCTGTCCTCCTCGCCCTCCTTGTCCTGCCCCTCCCCCCCCTTCCTCCCCGGACCCCAGACCCCGACGTCATGATTTTTGTTCCAAACGTCGACCCCCAGAGGTCTCGACGCCTTCACGGGGACCTGCTCTTCATCCGGAGTCGTTTTGTTGACGGTCCCGGGGCCTGGCGTTTGCCCCCGGAGCCCGAATTCACCGCGAACCTGCCGTCGTGATCTCCTCACAAGCGCGAGGAGGTCTGCGGCCCTCCCGCCCGCCCTCCCGCCCTCCCTCCTCCTCGTCCCCTCCCGCCTCGTCCTCCTCCCTCTTCCCCATCCCTTCCTCCTTCCTCTTCCCCTCCCTCCTCCTCCTCCTCCCTCCCTCCCCCCCCCCCCCCCTCCTCTTCCCCTCCTCCCTCTTCCCCTTCCCTTCCTCCTTCCTCTTCCCCTCCCTCCCTCCCTCCTCCCTCCCTCCCTCCCCTCTTCCCCTCCCGCCCTCCGAGGCCCGCCTCGGGGGCGGGCGGGGCGCCTGCCTCCCGCGCCGCCACGCCGCAGCCAGTCCCGCCTCCGCCCCCCCCCCCCCCCCCGCGGTGCGCGGCGGCCGCCGCCGCGCGCGGGCGGCGCGCGATGGCCACCGTGGCGCGGCGGAGACTGATCCGGGACCTCAAGAGGCCACCGTGGCGGGGAGGGAGGGGAGGCTGCTCTCGTAGATCCGGGCAGAGTCCCTTGCATGGCGGTCGCCCCTCCACCCCCCCTCGCCCCGTCAGACGAGCACCGGCGTGCAAGCGCCTTTCGACTTGCGCGGCTTCCACGTGCAAGTCGTTTGCGGCTTCCTTCAGGTTCAAGCCCCCCTCCCCGTCCCTTCAAGTAAACTTGCCGGATTTAAAACAAACAAAAAACAGGCTCAGAGGTACATGGACGCTGGCAAAAGTGACCGGGGCCAGCCCTTCTACTATTTCCAGCCCTGGCCAGTCTCCATGTTTTTCAGCCCTGGCGACCGCATCCCTACTGCTTCAGGCTCGCTTCGCCCACTGCCAGTTTTTCCAGCCCTCGCCACTTCCACTTTCACTGGCTTTCCAACGTCCACTTTTCCAGCTTCCTTGTGCTGATACCGCTACCCTCTCTCGTTTTCACGTTTCCGGGCCTCCCGGGAGGCCCTCGTCGCCACCGCTGGATTCGCCTCGGAATTCTGGTCAGGACGCGCCCCGGCAGAGGTCTGGGGAGTACCGGTATCGGCACCTTTTGACTTCCCCAGGGTTAGGGCGGAGGGAGGGAGGAAAGTGCAATTCGAGCCACCACGGTCGGGGCGATTTCAGAGCGAGGCGCGAGTCTCTCAGCCTGTTCTGGAGAGGGGGGGGGGGGCGCGAAAGCGCGAAGAGCATCGCGCCAGGGCGCGAAGCGCGTAGATAGTTGCCCGAGGGTGAGAGGCAAGGAAGGAGGAGGAGGAGGAGGAGGAGGAGGAGGAGGAGGAGGAGGAGGAGGAGGGGGAGGATATCTGCCTCCTGTCTTCGCGCCTTCGCGCAGCCCCCTTGGAACACGGCAACCGCCCTGGCCCGAGGCACGCGACGCGCGGAGGGCGCCTCTCTTCCTGTTCCAAAGCGTTCCGGAACTCTCTGAGAAGGCCGGGGCACGTGCGACATCCTTCAGAGCTGCTAGATCTCGGCGATGTCCGATTTACCACCCGATGTTACAATCGTCTTGGCATCGTCTTGCAGCAGGAGGTCGGCTGGGCTCGGCATTGCAGCAGTCTGCGCGACGTCATGCTGAAGGCTCTCACCCTGAGAGCTCGTTTCGGCCACCACCCTCCCCAGCGAAGGGAGGCCCAGCCCTGAGTCCCAGAAGGATGGAGTGGGAAGGGAGGGAGGGCGAGGGAAGGAAGGGAGGGAGGGAGGGAGGGCGGGCGGGCGGGCGGGAGGGAGGGAGGGAGGAGGATGAAAATGACGAGGAGGAGGAGGAGGAAAAGGAAAAGGGGGGAAGAAAGGGAAGAGAAGGAGGAGGGGGGAGGACAAGCTAGGTGCGCTCGTTCATATCTGACGTCCTACCCCTCTCTCCCATCCCTTACCATGGCGTAGATCTCCTCTCTATTCGCACAGTTGGATGTCGAGCAGGACAATGATCTCAGGAGGGTGCGCGATGCATGTAGAGCACGGCATGGCATGGCGTAGAAGAGCACGGCAGAGCGTCGAATGTCATAGCATGGCGTGGCATTGCGTAGTAAAGCATTGCAGCACAAACCACTGCAACGAAACGCATGGCATCGCACAGCGGCGCAGAACAGAACACCGCACAGCACGTCGTGGCAGGGCGCCGGGCTCCTGGGAGGGTACGTGGATCTTCTTCGAAGGGTCTGGGCTGGTCTGGAGTCGCGGCTCCACGTTTACCTCCCTGGGCTACACGGCGGGGCTGATGAAGAGCACCCGCTGGCCCTGCTTGCAACATCGCCTTCTGAGAGCAGAAACGGGGCTCCCGCTTGATACTTCCTTCAAACTACGCCGCCCCGAAGTGGGGGGGAGAGCCTTCTGCGGCCCAGGAACTCAACGAATCGGCACCGTATGTGTAATCTCTTGCGATGGTTTTTTTCTGGAGGTCATTGTCTTGATTTGGGGCCTACTTGGAAGGACCGAAAACGCCCGCGCTACAGCGGGAGCACGTTGTGGAACAACCAGAGGCGCAGAAATGGGGCCACCGCTGCAGCGGGAGCAACATTTTGCAGGACCGAAGAACTTTGGATTGTCGGAACACATATGGGAACCGTGAAATGACGCCAGCGCTGCAGCGGGAGCACGATTCGGAACGAGCGGAAGCGCGGAATTGATGCCAGCGTGCAGCGGGAGCACTATTCGGAACGAGTAGAAGTCCGAAAATGAAGCCATCGCTTCAACTGGGGCAACATTTTGAAACAAACCCAAGCGAAAACCCGGTTCCCAGGAATCCAGTATGTAAAAACAGTACGCGGCAGGGGGCCGGATATCTTCCCGACATCATCAGAGGAGAGATGAGAGTAGTATTCGTATTGTTTAAGTGTGGTGGACGAGGAGGAGGAGGAGGAGGAGGAGGGGAGGGGGAGGAGGAGGAGGAGGAGGAGGAGGAGGAGAGGAGGAGGAGGAGGAGGAGGAGGAGGAGGGGGGTTCGAGCGGATGCGAGCGATTTTGATTGGTGGCGCGACGCACGCGGCTTGCCCTCGGCGCCCCTGCTATGCGCTACGAGCCGTCCCCGAGGCAGACTAAGTACAGTCAACACCGATAGTAAGGATGAGCTCCTCCTCCTCCTCCTCCTCATCCTCCTCCCCTTCCTCCTCCTCCTCCTCCTCCTCCTCCTCCTCCTCCTCCCTCTTCTTCTCCTCCTCCTCCTCATCCTCCTCCTCCAAGGTCTCTCTTATATCCTTTCCCGTCGGCCCATCCTTGGCCACTTTCGTTGGCCGCGCCTCGCTCGAAAAGTCTGGGCACGGCTTTCCAAGCCTCTTGCATCCTTGGCGTGCATCCTCAATACTTGGTTTGATTGCAGGGCTGGTTACGATATAAGGGGTACGCCGAAACTGTAGCTGACTTTGTTTGGCTCCAGCTGCCTCCCCCAAGCGCAATGCGGGTCTGCCCGCCATGTCGCACTACGACCTTATCTCAGCATTGGTGCTGATGGTGTCTGCTCCTGCGGTCTCCCTCTCCCGCCTCCGCCCTGGTCCCCGCCTTTCGGCAGGGGTCGTGGGGCAGGCCTGACCCAGCTTTACGCCCAGCCACTTCTCGCCCCGCTCGCAGTGGTGGTGTGCACTACCACTGCCTGCCTTCTCGCATGAATTACTCCCAGCTTTGAGCTGATGTTTCGCTCACTGCCGCCTGTCTCCCATGCGCTACCTACGCCCAGCATTGCAGCTGATCTGTCGCCTGCCTTGTAGGCAGGCCTACTCCCGGCATTATAGCTGATATGTCGGTCACGGCCTGTCTGGAGCTCGAGCTTTCGCCCAAAGCTCCATTTCGGATGAATTACCCCAAAAGTTGTAGCTGACGAGTAGTTCGCTGCCGCCCTTCTCTCACGAGCTGTTCCCAGCGTTGTAGCTGATGTGTCGCCAGCTGAATGCCTGGAGCCAGAACCTCTCCGACCGTAGCTCCGCCTGACAACCTCGGGCTCCAGCTTCGCCGCCCGCTTCTCATAGCATGGTGCCAGAGTCGCCTGCCGTTGTTTGCCCTTCTCACATGCCTTGATTCCAGGGCTGTAGCTGATATCCCGATCGAGCTTCACCTTCGCCTTCCTGGCGAAGGACCCAACCGTATGCAGTTATGGGTGCCGCAATTGTGAATATCTTCTTCGTGAAACCCCCTGTGGGGCCACGAAGCGCTGCACCGGGTGGGGGGGAACGCGTGCGGGCGGCAGCACTCGGGCCGTCGGTGGAACTCCCTATGGGGCCATGAAGCGCTGTACTGGGTGGGGGGACGCATGCGGGCGGTAGCACTGGGGCTTTCGGTGGAGCTCCCTAAAGGGCCACGAAGCGCTGTACTGGGTGGGGGGAACGCGTGCGGGCGGTAGCACTGGGGCCGTCGGTGGAGCGCCCAACGGGGCCACGAAACGTTGTACTGAGTGTGGGTGACGCATGTGGGTGGTAGGACTGGGGCCGTCGGTGGAGCTCCCTACGGGGCCAATGAATGCTGTACTGGGTGGGTAAACAAAGCCAAATTTGGTGTGTGTGTGTGTGTGCGTGTGCGTGTGCGTGTGTGTGTGTGCGTGTGCGTGTGCGTGTGCGTGTGCGTGTGCGTGTGCGTGTGCGCGTGTGTTTGTGTGTGTGTGTGTGTGTGTGTGTGTGTGTGTGTGTGTGTGTGTGTGTGTGTGTGTGTGTGTGTGTGTGTGTGTGTGTGTGTGTGTGTGTGTGTGTGTGTGTGTGTGTGTGGGGGGGACGCATGCGGGCGGTCCCACAGGGGGCTTCCGTGGAGCTCCCTATGGGGCAAAGCGGACGGTGGCACTGGGGGCTTCGGTGGAGCTCCCTATGGGGCCACGGAGCGCTGTACTGGGTTGGTGAAAATGCCAAATTGTGTGTGTGCGGGATGCACGCGGGCTGTCCCATGGGGGGCTTCGGTGGAGCTCTCTATAGGGCCACGGAGCGCTGTACTGGGTGGGTGGACATGCCACATTTGGTTTTCAGGACGCATGCGGGCGGCGTCATTGGGGGCTTCGGTTGAGCTCCTTATGGGGCCACGGAGCGCTGTACTGGGTGCGTCAAAATGCGAAATTCGGTGTGTGGGACGCATGCGGGCGGTCCCACTGGGGGCTTCGGTGGAGCTCCCTATGGGGCCACGAAGCGCTGTACTGGGTGGGTGTAAATGCCACCTTGGGCTTTCGGGACGCATGCGGACGTTCGCACTGGGCCTTCGGGGGAGCTCCCTATGGGGCCACGAAGCGCTGTACTGGGTGGGTGGAAATGCCAAATTGAATGTTTCGCAATGCATGTGGGCGGTCCCACTGGGGTCTTTGGTGGAGCTCCTTAGGGGGCCACGAAGCGCTGCAGTGGGTGGGCGAAAATACCGCATTGGGTTTTCATGACGCATGCGGACGGTGGCACTGGGGGCTTCGGTGGAGCTCCCCGAAGCGCTGTACTGGGTGGGTGAAACTGCCACCTTGGGTTTTCGGGACGCATGCGGACGTTTGCACTGGGGCCTTCGGGGGAGCTCCCTATGGGGCCACGAAGCGCTGTACTGGGTGGTTGAAGATTTTCGGGACGCATGCGGGCGGCCCCGCTGGGGGCTTCGGGGGAGCTCCCCATGGGGCCACGAAACGTTGTACTGGGTGGGTGAGACGAAGGGAGGAATGGCACGAGGGGGAGGAAGGAAGGAAGGAGGGAGGAACGCGGGGACCGTCTCTTCAAAACGAGTACCCAACACCACAGGATGGTTGGGAGAGAAAAACGACTGAGACTACTGCCACTGCTCGCCTTTCTCGCAGGCGCTGCGTTAAGGGTTGCAGTTGCCACCTGGGGCTCCAGGTGCGCCTCCAGCTTCTCGTAAGGTGGTGCCTGTCTTCTGGCGTGCCGCAGCAGACGGCCAAGGACGGCGAATGCTATGCTGTTTTTACGCTCGCGCAGTGCGCGATGGCTCCGATTGAGTTGTGTTTGTGACTGCCAATGGGCCCTGTGCGGCCTCTGGGGCTGTGTTGGCTCTCCGGGGCGTCTGCGGGAGAGGTCCCAGGGCCCGCCTCCGCGGGTGCCCAGCTGGTCCGGTTTGGGTGGTTTCTGGATCTCACGGCTGCGAAGACGGCCGCGCGCTGCGCGAGCGTTGAAGTCGACAGCGGCAAGACCACTTCGTGAGAGGAGAAGGGCAATGAGCCCGCCGACGTGCACGGCAAAATGGGCGCGGCCAAGCATGCTGCATGCGAGGCAGACGTGAACCTGCCCAGTGTTGTCAGGTGTCCTGCCAAGGAGGCAGCCCGCTGGGCTGCCCAGCTGCAGGTGCACTTTGCAGTCTGTGGGCCAAGCTCGGCAGGGCGCGGCTGGATTGGACCCCGGCGAAGTCTCTTCTATTTTTGGCATGGGCAAGTGCTCTAAGCAACCGGTGTCCACGGCAGGTGGTTTTGGCAATCACGCTGCCCACTCCCTCCTCGTCTTCCGTTTCTCCCTCCTGCTCCTTGTCTTTTTTCTCCTCCGTGGCTGGTGCTTCGAATAGTGGGGTCCCTTTTGCCCCTCGCTGGGAAAGCAAGCAATTTTCATCATCTGCTTTTTGGTTGTATAGTCAAAGTGTCAGCCGATTTTATGGTGTTCAAGGCGGGCGCACTGCTCGTTGCACCGACCGATGAACCGAATCGGTAGCGATCAGAACGCCGCTCTTGGAGTTGTGGGGTTGAGTTGTGGGGTTGAGCTGAGTTAGGTGTTTTGCGGGCGCTTTCTGGCCGTGCACCGCTCGGGAGACGATCTGCTACAGTATGGTGGTTCTGTATGTCTGGGTCGGACGCGCGCGTCCAGTGAGGACACGCAGTGCTACAGCCGGCCCGTATCATGAGGATGCGCGATCAGGATGCTAGGGCCTCGGCCGCCCACCTCGAAGCTTGAGCGGGGCGCGGCCAACGAAAGTGGTCAGGGATGGGCCGAGGAGGCAAAGGTGCAAGGGTACTGGTACCCTTGGGAAGGCTGCCCGTCCTCACCATGTGGGTTGACCGCAGCATGTCCTCGTGCGTCAGGGCGACGCGCACAGGGGGGGGCCCGTGCCACGAAACGCCCTGCTTGCCTCCAGGGTGCAGCGGGTTTCTTGGGTCCGGATGGTTCTGCGATGGAGAGCGTGACGCTCCCGCACCGAAAGCCCAGGGACGTCCTGGGGTCTCAGCGTCGGCTTTCTCGTGGAGGGTCTCTTGTGGACTGGCCCCCGCTGCAGCATGCCCTTGTGCGTCCCGCTTCCGGGAGGCGCGGGGCGGCCTCGAGGCGACACGAACCAGGCCAGGGATGCCCGGATCCATCGGTGGGCGTTTTTCCGGGCCGCTGCCTGGTCAGGCCTCGGGGGGTGGGGGGCCTCCTCCTCCCTCCTCCTCCTCCTCCTCCTCCTCCTCCTCCTCCTCCTCCTTTACTCGTGCCTGCCACTGTCTCTGCCCTCCTTTTTCCACGGACAGGCCCCGGGGGCGCCCCGGGCGCCCCGCGGCCTGCGCCCCCCCCCCGCGCGGCCGCCGAGGCTGCAGTCCGACCCGCCCCAGGGCATCAGCGCCTCGCCGATGAAGGACGACATCATGTCCTGGAGCCGCCCAGGGGCCTCTGCCACTCCCACCTTTCCGTTGCTGGACATCCTTGGCCTTGCCTTCCAGAGTGTCCCATCCCCCAGCGCCTGCTTGCTGCTGGACCGGGAGCGGCCGCCCCAGCTCCCTCCTCGTCCCTGGTGGGGTCCCCGCCCCTCCCGCCCGTTGTCGACCAGGCCCTTCGCCAGAGTAACCTTTCATGCGGGCCCAGCGGAGTCCCCCGATCGCTGAACGCCATGCGATAGTAGCGTCTTGCGCGCTTGCGTTTGGGCCCCCCGCAGCCCCCCAAAAAGCCGCGCACCAGAGGTCACTCCTACCCAGGGTCACTTCTGCCGACGTTGGCGGGAGTGTAGGGACCAGGGGGCGCTCTTCCTCTTCGGACTGAGGGCGCCGGGATCTGGGCCGCGCCTTTGCCCTCCGTTTCCTCCTGCGCGCGGTGCTTGCCAGCACGCTCCGAAACGGTCCTCCCCTCGTCCTTGCTCCCCGCTCTGCCTCTCTTCCCTCTCTCTCGTCTCCTTCGGTGCTCTGAATTCGCTCAGACTCTGGCCCCTCTTCCCACATCGGCCCCCTGCGCTCGAGGACGGCGGTGATGTTCGGCCCGGACGACACGCCCTGGGAGGGCGGGACCTTCCAGCTGGAGGTCACCTTCACCGAGGATGAAGTCGGGCATGTCCCTCTGTAGGATGAATATTCGAAAATTGTATAAAAAATCGTCCGGGTGCGATGTTCCGACTATTTTTTGATCACTTTAGACTATTTATTATTTGTCTTCCCAAATCCGCCTGTAGGGGGACACGCCCGACCTAAACCAAGGAGTTCCCGACAAAACCACCGCACGTGAAGTTCTTAACGAAGATGTTCCACCCGAACATCTACAACAACGGGGAGATCTGCCTCGATATCCTCCAGAACCAGTGGAGCCCGATCTACGATATATCGGCCATCCTCACGTCGATTCAGGCAGGCTCGTTCTGCCTGTCGATGCGCTCCCAGACCTTCTCGCGCTGTGAAACAATCACGACATGAGGCCTTTGGGAGCCCTGATCGGCCCTCGGGACCGTCAAACAACGACTCAGGACGAAAACCGTTCCTGGGGAATGGGTCCAGACGTCTGGGGGTCGACGTTTTGAAAAAAATCACGACGTCGGGGGTCTGAGCTGCCCGTGTCAGCTCAGCATGGTGGCGGGGGAGGGGTACAGATGATTAGGTGCACGGCAGCTCTACCTTGGCCTCTATCATCACTACCATGATCTCTGTAAGATCGCAGGGCCAACCGCTCGAAGTGCGATTTCCATATCCAGTCCCACCATCTGTCGACAATCGGCCCCAGCACTCATAGCCGGTTGGTCTTTTTCAAAACATGTCGGCTCGGTTTTCACAGGGGAAGCTTGCAGAGGTGCATGGCGCAAGCTCGGAATCTTCAGGACTACTGTTTTTTTCCCGCTCTTCGCACGGCGAGCATGTTCTCAATCTTGTTGTTACGAAGATCGCCACCTTTGGAGCCGAGCTTATCACAAAAGTTTACTCGCACGTATCCTTGCTGCGGACGCGGACAGTGCAAACGCCAGGCATGGCAATAAGAAAGCAGTGTGCCATCAGCGGCGCCCTCGCATCCTTGCCTCTTCGGCATTGTGCTATGGCGTTCCGCATCCGCAGCAGTTTGACCACGGACGTCGATGGATCTCGCAGATTCTACCTCGCGCTCACGCCCCTCTGCTTTTCTCCCTGCCGAGACGCAGCCTCGAACGCGCGGACCGCCGACACAGCCTCGACGCTCTAGAAACAGATGTCGGAAACTGGAAGATATACATTACCAGTGGCGGGTTGTTCTTTCAATCCCACGACTTCTTGAGGGTCAGGGACGACGCTGGGGTGGTGGTGTGGTGTATACTTTTTTCCCCGGTGTCCCGGGGAAGCGGCGAAAGACCTATACGCCAGGATCCCGTATGCACCAGAATCTGCGTTCCTGTGCGAATCTCAGCGCAGGGTCGGGAAAAGCGTCGGTGTACAGTGCCGTTTTTAATACTTGCTCCGCGCGCGCATCATGTATCAAACATGCAGGGATCTAGTATTAAAAACAACGGTGAGTTCATGCATACATGCACTCATAAATTAGTCATGTATTACATATCCGATATTGTCATGTATTAAACATCCTATATTAGTCATAAAAAACATGTATTAGAAACTGCCCTGTATGGAGTTCGCTTCCCCAAGATAGTCCTGTGAGGCACGTCCTGAGGACGCCGGGCCCCGTCCTGCGAGAGGCGCCGGGCGCGGCGCGCCCTGCGAGAGGCGCGCCCTGCGAGGCAGGACGCCCTCGCGGGGCCACGTCCTGCGAGGCACGTCCTGCGAGGCGCCCTGCGAGGCGCCCTGCGAGGCGCGAGGCGTCCTGCGAGGCACGTCCTGCGAGACGTCCTGCGAGGCACGTCCCGCGAGGCACGTCCTGCGAGGCGCGCCCTGCGAGGCGCCCTGCGAGGCGCCCTGCGGCGTACAGAGTTCGCTTCCCCGAGACCGTCCTGCGAGGCACGTCCCGAGGACACACGGGCCCCGCAGGGCGCCTCTCGGGGGCCTGGCCTCCGGCCCCCGGGGCGGGCACGGGCCTCGGCTCGCCGAGCTCTCTTTCTCTCTCTCTCTCTCTCTCTCCGCCACCAGCAGAGGATGCACGGACACCCTGCAGTGGATGATTCGTGGACTACTCCCTCGGCCTCAGGGGAGGGTAGCGGTGTACAGTGCCGTTTTTTATACATGCTCCGCGTGCGGATCACGTATGGAACATGCAGGGATTTATTATTAAAAACAACGATGACATCATGCCCGAATTGATTCATAAATTAGTCATGCATTAAAATGCGACATTGCTTAAACACCCGATGTATTAGCAACTGCCCTGTATGGATTACCACTGGCAGCCAGCGGCTTCACACACCGCCGCCCTCCCTGAGGGTGTATGCAACAGGTCGCCGAGCTCTCTCTCCGCCACCAGAAAAGGATTCACAGACACCCTGCAATGGATTATCGGAAACTGGAACCTATACATTCCTAGCGGCGGGCTGTTCTTCCCACCCTGGGACTTTTTGAAGGGTCCGGGACGACGTCGGGGTGGTGTGGCGTATACTTGTTTCCCCGTCTTCCCGGGGAAACGACGCAAAATGTATACACCTGGATCCCGTATACACCAGAATCCGCGTTCCTGTGTCGGGAAAAGCGTCGGTGTGTGTATATATATAGAGAGAGAGAGAGAGTTTCCTTAGATTATTCGTGGATTATTCCCTCGGCCTCAGGGGAGGGTAGCGGTGTATGGATTACCACTGGCAGCCAGCGGCTTTACACACCGCCGCCCTCCCTGAGGGTGCATGCAACAGGTCGCCGAGCTCTCTCTCCGCCACCAGAAAAGGATACACAGACACCCTGCAATGGATTATCGGAAACTGGAACCTATACATTCCCAGCGGCGGGCTGTTTTTCCACCCTGGGACTTTTTGAAGGGTCCGGGACGACGTCGGGGTGGTGTGGTGTATACTTGTTTCCCCGTCTTCCCGGGGAAACAACGCAACATGTGTACACCTGGATCCCGTATACACCAGAATCCGCGTTCCTGCGTCGGGAAAAGCGTCGGTGTATATAGAGTTCGTTTCCTTAGATTATTCATGGATTATTTCCTCGGCCTCAGGGGAGGGTAGCGGTGTATAGATTACCACTGGCAGCCAGCGACTGTATACACCGCCGTCCTCCCTGAGGGTGCATGCAACAGGTCGTTGGAGTGTGTGTGTGTGTGTGTGTGCATCTCTTTCCGTGGCGTGCTCTTGCTGCGGACCCCGGGGCAGAGAAGGAGGGAGAATTACAGGAGGATGATGATAAGCAGAACGCGGAACAGTGCTAGGAGGAGGAGGAGGAGGAGGAGGAGGAGGCGGAGGGGGAGGAGGAGGAGGAGGAGGAGGAGGAGGAGGAGGAGGAGGAGGAGGCAGGCTGCCTGAAGCAAGCGGCCGCCAGTCTCTGCTGACCGACCCCAACCCCAACTCGCCGGCCAACAGCGAGGCGGCCAGGCTGTGGTCGGAGAACCGGCGGGAGTACGACAGGCTCGATTGGCCTCCCCCTATCCGTCCAGACCATCTTTCCTCAGGGAGATCGTCGTTTTCTTATTCATTGTTTTGCCGATCGGCGCGGGCCCTCGCACCCCCCCCCCCGCCATGGAGTAGATCCTGGCTGTTATTGGCGCCTGTTTCAAGCAAGCTGAGCTTCCCCCGTAGGACGCACTGTTGCAAACAGTCGCGTGAAGCAGAGGTCCAGAGCCAGACCCCCCCCCCGTTCCCCCGCCCCCTTCAGCCCAATGTCGAAGCGCCGAAGAAGAAAACGCTCACAAAGGGAAGCGCCAGCACCAACACCAGCGGGCCGCCTCCAGCGCGGAGGTCTGCGGTGCCTCCCCGGACGGGAGACTGGCTGCGTCTCGGGTGGCCTGGGGCACCCCCGTCGGCCGCGGGGGCGCGCGCGCGCGCAGGCGGCACGGCCCCTCTGACGCGCGGCGCGCCGCCTGGACAGCATGCCAGGTATGCCAGCGCTGCCGAGCCAGTATTCAGTCTTGGCACTCTGGCAGAGAAGCCGTGCCAGTATTGAGCCTCGGCTGAGATCCCAGGCGGCTTGGTGGGACGCCTGTGCCACCTTCAGGATACGTGTTGTTCCTCCCTCCTCCCTCCTCCCTCCTCCTTCCTCCCTCCTCCCTCCCTCCTTCTCCCTCTCTCCTTCTCCCTCCTCCTCCTCCTCCTCCTCCTCCTCCTCCTCCTCCCTCTTCTCCTCCGCCTCCGCCTCCTCCTCTTCCTCTCTCGTCCCTCCTCCTCCTCCTCCTCCTCCTCCTCCTCCTCCTCCTCCTCCTCCTCCTTCCGTAGCCATTTTGCCATTTTGGCTCAAGCCATTTTGGCGCAAGTGCGAAACGTTCGGCCTGGCGCTTCGTGTTTGGTCGCTGCCGAGGGCCTGGCTCGAGGTATTTTGCCTCAGGGGCTGCTGGCTGGAGCCCGCGCACCGACCACTCTCTTTCGATTTTCTTCCCCAGTCTTCGCACCCATGGCCGAGTCGAGTGCGCTGCAGGCGCCGACCTCGGCGATTCAGTCACAGTCCGCCAACATGACGACCGAGCTGGGCAGGATGCGCCAAGCCACATATTCGTACAACACCCGAGCCGAAGCTCTTGAAGCATCTCTCATCGCCTTCTCCGCGCAGCAGGCTCAGACATACCAAGGCGTCCAGACCATGATCAATGGAGTGAGCAACGCCTGGGAGGATCGCTTCACCAACCTCGAACGCCGCTTTGAGGAGACCCTAGCATTCACGGACTGCGACGACGAGGCGATGGAGGACCCGTCCAAGTTCGGCAAGTTGCAGGCCATGATCGATGGGAAGCTCGCCGCCCTGCAGCAGCAGCTGAACAATCTCTCGCGCCCAGCCTCTACCATCTCAACGGCATCGTCACCCGCTTTTCGTGCCAAGATCCGTCGCACGGATCCTCACCCTCCTCCTGCGAACCTTCGCGCAGATGTCGTCGACCCGTGCCGCGTGTGGGTCGGAGGTTTCCCCCGTGCAGCGCTGGAGAGCCACCGCATACATCACTTCGATGCCGTGAAGCAGAAGATCTCCGAAACGGACCCCGACTTAGACGCGCTGGATATCACCGACAAGTTCCACCAAGTTTCAATGTCGTACAGCATCCATTGCGAGAGTGGCCGCCATGCCAAAGACTTTCGCGCCTGGGGCCAATCAGTTCATGCCGCCATGGTTCGACCCTCGCACACGCAAACCGATCCCTCTCCGAGTTCGCCCTGGCATGCCTCTTCCAGCTAGGCTGAGACAGCGGTCGCTGTCCCGCCTGTGGCCACACGTCCTTGTCAAGTTCCAGCTCGAAGGCAAGTGGAGCGCTCACCTCAGGCTCGGTGTCAGCAGCGCTAGAGGCGAGTTCAGCATCACGGACAACAGCCAAGACGACCACTGGGTGCTCTTCCGCACGGTCGAAGAGAGCGAGGACCAGTTCAGCATCCAGCCCAACGTCGACAACCTCCAAGAGTGTGGCATATCCGTCGACGATGCCACCAAGCTCATCCAGGTCGCCATCGACGCGACGAGCGACGGGTACATCTAGGAAGGTCTTCTGCCAGCGTCTAGTTTCATTGAATTTTTCCGACGGCCTCCCTGGCGTGGGGATCGAGCCGCAGCAGGCTCCTCCAGGTGGCGGCCTGTCTCAGTATCAGCTTCAGAAGCACAGCAGTTCCTCTTCCTCGTCGGTGTCCTCCGCGTCTTCGTCCTCCCCGTCTTCGCCCTCGTCGCCGCCCTCGCTCGCCCTCTGCGCGGTCCCCTCGGCGCGAGAGGATAGATAATGGACCCCCCACCAGTCCCCCCCCCTTCTCCGGGCTCTACAGCTCCTCGGGCCTCGAGGTGCCCGCGTGCAACTCGCAGGGCTTATTTGGGTCTGTCCGTGCTCATCGCGAAACTATTGCCGCTAAGCGTTCTCGCTTCCACTCTCTATGTGCTCATCCTGGGGCCGCGGGCATCCAGGAGTCCCGCAGGCACGAGGGGAACCTGGTCGCCATTGAGAATCAGTTGCCCCATCACGGAATCTACGGCCAATTCCACCCCCACTCGCACATCAAAGCGCGGATGCTCCTGGTTATCCATCCTGTCATCCTGGCAAAGTTTTCGGATATTCGTCCTCTTGTGGTTTCTCCTAGTCGGGATTCGCGCCCGGGCTGAATCTGGAGAGGTTTGCTTCGCCAGCATTCATATTGCACCCAAGTCGAGCAAAGCCAAGAAGAGGCAACTCTTGTCTAGGATGCGGCAGGCGACGCCCCTCCTGCCACAGCCCAGTCGTTCTTGCCGGGCGATTTCAACTTCGCTGCCCCAGGCGAGGGCATCCAGTGCGTGAGCGGAGAGATCCGCCCGATGGCCGTCGACGGCCTTGCGAGATTTCTCGAAGTGCAGTTCCCTGACGCGCTCGAGGTCGAGCAGAGTTCCCCTTCCCACAGGATCACGATAGAGTCGAATGGCATGCGTGCAGTCAATGCGCTAACCCGTATAGACATAATCTTTACAAGCCCTCGCACAGCCGACGCGTGCGACTACCATCCACAAACAGGTGCACTGTGGGATGTATATGATTTACGTGCTCCTAGTGATAATTGCCTTGTCTTCGTCTGTCTCCGCCTCCCCATCTCTGCGGCCGACCCGAACGTTCCCTCCTGGATCTCTAAACGTCGTTGGTGCCCTGCGTCTCTCCATCGCATCGCCAAAGCTATCGACTTCTCTAACGGCCCGCCCACCAAGCTTAAAGCAATAAAAGGGTGTGTGTGTATATATATATATATTGCGGCCCATCGCATTCGACAGCAAACGAAGCTTTTTCCGCCTGAGTCTCACGCGCAGCATTCACCCTGGCTGTTCACCATCAACCGCGCCATGATCGCGGAGCGAGCATGTGATCAGACCTGCATTTAAGATCCCCCCAAGCTCGACAAGTGCATAGATCGAGACACGTTCCTTTGGCTTGACAGACACGGTTTTCACCAGCATATGGCAGAAGCCGCTAGAGGAGGATTAGGGGAGGAGAGGGGGGAGCTGATGTCTGAATTTGTACCTGAGCGGCTTCGTGACGCCCGTCTGGCCAAGATCCAGAGGCAAGCATAGAGCTGGGCTCCGAGGAATAGGAGGACGGCTCTTGCAGGTATTCGCGTTCCAAATGGGGCCCACCATCCGTCTATAGAGGTCGGCGCCGGGGCTCTGCGTCACCATTGGGCCAGGGTGCACAGTGCGGTTGGCGGCTCGTGCTAGACTGCCGCTGACCTGGCCCCGTTCATCCAGCGAGTGAACCCCGCCGTCGAGTGGCAGCTTTCTCGGGGGCGTTTTCGCCATATGGTCAGCCGTTTCAGAGACTGCGCCCCAGGCCCTGACGGGCTTTGCTAATCTGCTTGGGAAAACGGAGGTGGATTCGTGATAGGCGCGTTGCGCGGCCTACGCCTACACCCCCAGCCTGGCGCCCCGCTCGCCGACGACTTCAATAAAGGCCTTATTGTTTTCATCCCGAAAAGGTTCCCATCAAGAAGGTGCCGTGAGTTTTTTGGCGTGCCCCAGAAGATGCCCGCCCTATTGCACTGAGTAACACAGGCGTTGGGATCCTAGGCTCGGCCCTGAACAACGCCCTATCTGGCCAATGTGAGCTAGGAGCCAGCGATATCCAGAATGGCTTCGTCCGCGCGCGCCAGATGTCCGACGACATTTTGAATCTAGAATGCAAAGTGCTACGGCATGGCATCTTGCAGTGTATCCAGAGTGCTGGCTGCGCCCTCCTGGGCGTCAAGGCGGCGTTCCCGCCCCTGCTGCATTTCTGGATCGAGTTCGTGCTCTCGCCCATGGGGTCCCTTACTGTTTCCTCAACTCGGTCAAAGCGTTGTAGCGGAACATCTCCGTGGAGCTGATCCTGGGGGGCCGTCGTTTCCCTGGCTCCGAAATCTTCCGAGGGGTCCGTCAAGGGTATCCGGTGTCTGGAAGTATGTTCGTTCTGTCTCGATCCAGTCCTGCGCATGGTCCAAGATAGGCCCCCCAGCCCGCAGAATTCGCTGACGGCGCTCTCTGACGACGTGGCCTGCTGATCACTGCGTCGAAAGCTACTGGTCTGGTCCTAAACATCCTGAAATGTGTCATCGTGTTCTACCGTAGCCCCATCGACCGAGTCGAGGAGGAGAGGAGGCTTCGGATTCATGGGCTTCGCGTTCGCAATTTTGCCATCCAGAATTGGGGGAAGCATCTCGGAATCCATCTGGGGGTTGACTGTGTTGAACGATCATGGGCTGGACCAGTAGCAAAATACTCTGAAAGATGCAGGTGCGTCCGCTCGCTTGCTGGTGGCCTCCACCTCGCCCTTCCTACAACTCGATCGCCATCTCCGTCCACATGTTCGTCGCTTCCTTCTTCGCCATTCCCAAAGTTGCCAGCGACGCTGAGCGAGATGGCTAACATATCCTCACTGCCTGTCCAAGATATGCCATCCCGAATGCGGTGCCGCTGCAGTTTAAGCCCCTCTTCCGCCAGAGCTGGAGTGCGAGATCCTTGTGGCACGAGGGGGGCGCCGCTCTGTACAGAAACGCAGCCATATCACCGCAGTTTTGGACATGTAAGACAGAGATTGAGCAGGTGCTGGACGGCACCGACCTCATCCTCGGCCAGAGGTTCAACCGGTTTTACAATCGCTCCCCCCTCAAGCAGATGATTGAGATGTACACTTGTGTTTGGAACCTCCCAAGGACCGTCCAAAATCGCCCCTGGGAAGAAGGGGTCATGCATTGCCCCAAGATTCAGCGAGAACTAAGAAAAAAACGCTTTTCCATCTCTTCCCGCTCCCGTCTTTGCAGGCCAGATTAGGTGATCGTCTCAGATACTGGGATAAGGACATCACGGATGAGCCGGTCTCTCTGGTGGAATGTAGAATCCGTACCATGGGCCAGCTTTTTCCTTGCTACATTGGGCTCGGTATTTTACAGTGTATCTGCAATGCCATGAATACTTCTCGTCGATATCGCCAGGCGCGTAAAAACTGTCGTTTCGGATGTGGTAATGGTGATGCTATTTTACATTACTTTGGTTGTCCTTATATAGTTCCTGTAGTGAGGCGCCTCCTCCCCTCTCTTCCCGACTGGTGGGGTGTTTGTGATCCTAGGTCTTGTTTTGACTTGTATTCTAGAGAGTTTAGCTATCCTGGTGAGCTCTCTGCCACTGCTGATGCTGCTGATTTAGTTCTCACTAGATTCAATAACCTTCGCGCGCGTGATATATTTTCACACCCCCTGGGAATTATATTTCTGGAGGGTCGCATGCATCTGTCTGCAGCGCGTAGCCAACATCAGGGCATTAGCGCACTGATCATCGCCTGCAAGCAGGCGAGGTGGGAGCAGGCGGATTCGGTGCGCCTCAGGGGGCGGGTCTCTCCTCCTCCTCCTCCTCCTCCTCCTCCTCCTCCTCCTCCTCCTCCTTCCTCGCATCGCGCGAAGCGCTGCGCAGTGCTTGAGCATGCCGTTTGATGCCGTCTTCTGGGGCCGAGGGGGGTGATCCTGGATGCGGCTTCCCGCTTTGCCAGCTCCCGGCCGCCCACGGCGGGAAGCCCGGGCGGGGAAGCAGTGCGTCGGCGTTCCCGCGAAAGGCGTCGTTTTCTAATCCGGTGTTTTGCCGGTCCTCGCGGGCCCTCGCCCCCCCCCGTTCCCATGGAGCAGATCTCGGTTGTTTTTGGCGGCAGTTGGAATCTTCCCCATGGGACGCACTGTCGCAAACACTTGCAGTACGCAGAGGTTCGACGCTCCCCCCCCCCCCTCCTCCACCCCCCTCCGCCCAATGTTGAAACGCCGAATAAGAAAACGTTCGCGGAAAGGGGCTTCTCGTCCCAGGCTTGCGATGGTGGGGCGTCGGAGAGCGCTGCCGAGCATGGGTGGCAAACAGGTGGTGGTACGGTAAGGGCGCCAGGGTACTCCATCCCCCCCCCCCGCGGGACCCCTCGAGAATCGAGCGGTGGAGAATGAGGAGGACGAGGACGAGGACGAGGAGGAGGAGCTGGAGAAGGAGAAGGAGGAGGACCTCTTGATCCTCTATTTTCCCTTGTCCTACCCATGGTAGTGGTGGTGGAAAATTGGCCAATCAGAGACCTCGAGGGTCGAGGAGCGAGGGCGCCCGGGGCCTCTTGGAGGCCTCCGGGTTTTCGTCGCCACCGCCGCTGCCACGGGCAGGAGGCGCTCTCGGAGGCTCTCGGCGGTCTTCGGGTGCTGGCCTCTTGGACTTTCTTCAAAGGTTCTGGGATGCTTCGGGGCAGGACGGTGAGGTTCAGGCTGTAATGACGAGGAGGAGGAAGAAAAGAAAAGAGGATTATGATGATGCTAATGCTGATGCTGATGATGATGGTGATGACGATGCTGCTGCTGCTGATGATGATGATGAGGAGGAGGAGGAGGAGGAGGAGGAGGGAGGGGGAGGAGGAGGAGGAGGGAGGAGGAGGAGGAGGAGGAGGAGGAGGTCCCATCTCCCCTCTGGTGCCGTGGCTCCGCCGGCGGCGGCTGCTGCTGGCCCCGCCTGGCGACCGCCCCCCAAGGGGTGCCGGCCCCCGCGCCGCGCAAGAAGCAGGGGGTCTCGGGGAGGTCTTCCTGGCCAGGCGCAGAGGGGGGGGGTAGGGGGGAGAGGGGGGGGAGGCTTCTTAGAAGCACCCCTGCTTCTCAGAAGGCGTTGGCCTTCTCTGTAGACGTGAGGCCTGCGGCTTTTAAGAAGCAGGGTGCTTCTAAGAAGCCTCCCCCCCTACCCCTACCCCCCCATGCGCGCCGCCAACTTCCCGCGGTCTTCTGGGAGCCCGAGGAGGCCGTGGTCGGGAGGGGAAAAGCACACAGACGCGGTCGAGGAAGAGGTACCCATACCGCTACCCTTCGGCCACTTTTCCCCTTTCTGGGCCTCCTGGGCGGCCCGCGTCGCCACCGCTGGAGTCGCCTCGAGGTCCTGATCAGAACGCACCCCAGGAGAGGTCCAGGGAGTAGCGGTATCGGTGCCTTTTGGTTTTCCCCAAAACGCACGCACACACACACACACACACACACACACACACACACACACACACACACAACACACAACACACAACACACAACACACAACACACAACACACAACACACAACACACAACACACACACACACACCACACACAACACACAACACACAACACACAACACACAACACACAACACACACACACACGCACACACACGCACACGCACGCGCACGCGCACGCGCACGCGCACGCACACGCACACGCACACGCACACGCACACGCACACGCACACGCACACGCACACGCACACACACCATGAGTCGTCGATACCAGGGAAGGGGAACAAACACAGACACAAGTGATCGTTGTCTGATTCCTTGTTTTGCAGATCGGCGCGGGCCCTCACCCCCCTCCCCCCTGGAGCAGATCTTGGCTGTTTTGGGCGCCGTTTCGTGCAGGTGGAGCTCCTCCCCTATAGGACGCACTGTTGCAAAAAGTCGCATTAAGCAGAGGTCCAGAGCCAGCCCCCCCCTCCCCCCCACTTTCGCTTAATGTCGAAACACCGATTAAGAAACGCTCACCAATGAGTCGTCGATCCAAGGTGGGAAGGTATGGGAAGTTGAGGGGGGAGACGAGAGTCCAGAACGTGTGGGAAAGTAGAGGGGACTCCTGAGCTGTGTCTACTTCTCTGTGTGCCCCTGGGCCCCCTGCAGATGGATGAGGTGATGGAAGGGCAGGAGGCAGAGGGGTGGCCCCCCCGGACGGGCAGAGGGAGGGGCAGAGGTGGAGGCGGAGGTCATGGAGCGGCACGGAGGGGAAGCAGAGGCACCTGGGCGAGGGAGAGGCAGAGGCAAAGGAATGAAGGGGGGAGAGAGAGAGAGAGAGAGAGAGATTGCATTGCTGCCGCATCTGGATTTCATTGCCACCGCATCTTGATCTCACTGCGACCGCATCTTGACTGTAGACGGTTCGCGCACTGCTGCCATGCCATCTTGGGCTCATCAGTGGTCTCAGCGCAGTAGCTGACGGTTTCTTGCGCCTTGAGATTGCCACGTCAAAGCACACGAGAGAGGGTGTGTGTGTGCTTGTGATATAGACCACTGCTGTGATCGATTGGGCAGATTCCCTCCTGCCTTCTGCGAGCGCCTCCGACCTGTAGGCCACCACGGGCCTTCGCAGCCAGAGAGGCTGCGTGGGTGGCGCCTGTAGGCGCTGGCCTTGGGGGTGCGCGGATGCCTTTAGGCAGGGTTGGCCTGTAGGCGTGCTTCTAGGCAGGGGAGGACGGGGGGAGTGAGTGCCTACAAGGGATCACAGGCAGGGAGGAAGTGCCTGAAGGCAGGGAGGAAGAGAGAAATAGAGAGAGAGAGAGACAGAGCCGTCGCCGTTGCCGCCTCTGCCGCCGTCGCCGTCGCCGCCGCCGTAGCCTTATTGTAGTGGCCTTCGGCCAGTGCCGCCGATCCGGGTCGCTCGGGGTTATTCTCCAGACGCAGACATTATGGGGAAACCACCGGTTTTGCTTGAAACTTACCCTAAAACGTTTTGTTTCTTTGAGAAAGCGCGCTGCGACGGTTTCATTGCCAGCCGCGGAAATCCAATGGTTCTATGCGTCTGCCGGCAGGCCTTGAGCGCGTCTACAGAGGGGCCCTCTGTAAAATCGCAATTCCCCCGCCCCTCCTTGAGCGCATCTACAGAGGGCCCCTCTGTAATATCGCAAATCCCGCGCCCCCCATTGAGCGCATCTACAGAGGGCCCCTCTGTAAAAACGCCAATCCCGCGGGGGCCTGAATTGCGTTGCCCCTTGAGCGCATCTACAGAGGGCCCCTCTGTAAAATCGCCAAACACCCCGCATCCGCCGGAAACTCGCACCCCCCCCCCATCCCCCCTTCCCCGGCAGAGCCACCCCGGCAACCCCCCCAGAGGCTGAGGCTCAGCCTCGAGGCTGTAGCTGAGACTCCTTGAAACTCACACGCCGGATCGCCGGATTAGTCGCTGTCGCCGCAGCCGCCGTCGCTGTCGCCGCTGACGCGCCGCGCGGCTGCCGCTGTCGTGGTCGTCGTCGGCGTCGCCGTCGTCGCCGTCGTCGTCGCCGCCGCCGTCGTCGTCGTCGTTTTGGCCGACGAGGCGCGTGACGCAGATCGTGGAGGAGAGCTGGGCGGCCGCTGACGCCCTCTGCGAGGGTGAGGACGGCGAGGACGGCGAGGAGGACTCCGCTGCCAGCCCTCTGTCCCCCGCTGGGGTGCCTTCAGCCCTTCAGCCTTCCTTCATACTCCCCTCCCCCTTCCCTGCTCCCCCTCCTCCTCCTTCTCCTCCTCCTCCTCCTCCTTCTCATCTGCGTCATCGTGCACCTCCCCGCATCTTCTCCACCTGTTCCTTTCCCCCCACTCCTCCTCCTCCTCCTCCTCCTCCTCCTTCTCCTCCTCCTTCCACTCCTCCTCTTTCTCCCCGTCTTCCTCCTTGCCCTCTTCGTCCTCCTCCACGTCCTCCTGCTCGCTTTTCCTATCCGTGCTTTTCTATTTCTCTTCTCTTCCACGTCTTTGTCCTGCATCAGTGCAAGGCCTCTCAGTGACAGAGCTCGCTCATGGCAATTGGGTGCCATCTGGCATGAAATCCATGAGACATTCGATTCCGTTCTACTGTTCTTCTTCTCCTGCTGTTGCTGCTGCTCCTCCTATTCCCGATCCCCGCCACGAGCTGAGGCTTCTTGTAGACCTCTTGTGCCTGCTGCCTCGCTCGTCGAACACCCGCCGCTGGCACCAGCACAACATCCTTCTGTCATCCCTCCTACTCCCCCTCCTCCTCCTTCTCCTCCTCCTCCTCTTCCTCCTCCTCCTTCTCATCCTGCTTCTCCTCCTTCTCTTTCTCCCCCTCATCCCCTCCTCCTCCTCCTCCTCCTTCTTTTTTTGTATTGTGTTTTTCTGTGTCTCTCTCTCTCTCTCTTTGCCTCCGTCCTCCCCCTGCCTGCTCATCCCGCCTCCTCCCACCTCCCACCTCCTCTCCCTATCTCTGTCCTCCTCCTCCTCCTGCCCCCGTCCCGCTCTCTCTCCCTCTCCTCCTCCTTATCCCTCGCCCCTCTTCCCGCTCCTGGCGCCGAGAGGACGGCGAGGAGGCCGGCAAGCCCGGGGAAGACCCCGAGGCGGCCGGCGGCGCCGCGTCCGCCATGGACGAGGACCGGCCGAGCTCGACGACGGCCGCGGCACCAGCGACGAAGACGACGGCGACGACGCCGAGGGCGGCGGCGGCGGCGGCGGCGGCGGCGACGGCGCTGGCGGCGAAGAGGACCGCGAGGAAGGTGACGACGACGGCAACGACGACGAGGGCGACGGCGGCGAGGACGACGACGAGGGCGACGGGAGAGACGAGGACTACGACGGCGACGAGGGCGACGACGAGGACGATGACGGCGACGATGTCCTCGAGGGCCGTCGGCCGCAGCAGGTTCGTCTCTAGGGGTGACAGAGGCAGCCAGGACCTGCTGCTCCCCCCTCCCGACGTCCCAATACTCAGCAGCACACTTCTTTCTTCCGTCGGCTGCGAGGCGGGACAATCTGCTCCGGCGTGGCAGCGATGCAGGGGCACCACAGAGCGAATTGGCCGGCATGCGTGAGGAGGGAAAGGGAAAAGGCGGCCGCGGGGGGGGGAGAAGGGCGAGCACTCGGAGGCGGAAGACTTCCGCCATGAGCAGCCGGAGGGGCCCGCGGGCGGCGTGGGCGGCAAAGTTCTCAGCAACACACCCAGGCCCCCTCGCGCGTCGTGTCAAAACTCACAGCGGGAGGCTTTTCGCTAGTTTCGGCCTCTGCAGTGGCCCTCGCCGGGCCCCAGGACAGTCACAAAACGACTCGGGACGCAGAACCGGTCCCGGGGAAGTGGGGGCCCCTTCGGGCCATCACTGGGGCCCGCCTGGGGGTGAGGGAATGAGGAGGAGGAGGAGGATGAGGACGAGGAGGAGGCTGAGGACCAGTGTGAACCCAGGAGTCATCGACGATTTTGGAGTAAACCCTCCCTCCAAGCTGCCTCTTCATAGGTCCCAACAACTATTCATTTCCATTGATGGAACTGCCTCGTTGGAAGACACCCGTTTGAAGACCCTGAAGCATGCTAAACATTGTACTCGGGATTCCAACACCATGGATCAATCTGACTGTTGCGTTTTGGCGACCCTGAGTCATGCCAGAACGCCATTCCTAGGACTTCAACACAGCGAATCAACGTAACTGTTAATCCTGAATCCTTCCAAAACACAATGTCTGATACGTTGATGATGGGAACCAGTGAAGTTCTTGCAATGTGTTAAACCGAATGTACGCGACGCTGAGGCGAGAGCCACATTTTGAAAAGGAGCTACCCTCAGTCCGTGAAACTCTTGCACATGTTTAGAACGAATGTGCGCGGCGCCAAGGCGAGAGCCACATTTTGAAAACGACTCGCCCTCAATCCGTGAAACCCCTGCAAATTATTAAAACGAATGTGCGCGGCGCTGAGGCGAGAACCACATTTTGAAAACGACTCGCCCTCAATCCGAGAAGCTTCGCATTTTTTAACAAATGTGCGCGGCGCTAAGAGGGAGAGCCACATTTTGAAAACCACCCGCCTTTAATCAGTTACATTCTTGCAAATGTTTAAAACGAATGTGCGCGGCGCTAAGGGGGAGAGCCACATTTTGAAAACCACCCGCCCTGAATCCGTGAAACTGTTGCCAATTGTAAAGCTGCAGAATCATAAATGGTGAGGAAAGGAAAAACGCCCGGCCCGCCCTAAAAACTTGCCTCGGGGTGCGACAGGGAGATGTCGTTTTGAAAGAAGAAAAGGGATGGAGGAGGAGGAGGAGGACGCCGACGGCGACGATCACGACAACGAGGAAAAGGAGGAACAACGTAAAAGAAGACGATGAGAGCAAGGACGAGGAGGATGAGAAAGAGGAGGAGGAGGAGGACAGGACGAGGACAGAGCTTTCAAAATTGATTATTGGAGTCTGCTTGGGACTCTTCTGGGAGATATTCTGGTCCTCTTAGGCCCAGACGTCTTGGGGTCGACGCTATGAAACAAGAAGATCATGACGTCAGGGGGCCTGGGCACGCCGGCCACAGTAAGCGTCGTCCCGCGACGGGCTTCGAGGAGACAGCGTTCCCATGGCTGCACGCCAGATGCCATCCTTGTCGTATGCATCATCTGTCGGTCACCGCGCGCCTCAGGGCCCCTGGTTTCGAAGAGGAGGCAGCGCCGCAAACGTACACCTTTGGCGCTCCGCGCGGAGCGCCAAAAGTTTATGTTTATGCCGTTTGTTATGCTTCTTCTTCTTCTTCTACTCAGGGTCCCTGGTTGGCCAGTCCGCGGGCCGCACTTCCGGGGCATGCTTTCCAGGCCTTCCAAGGGGTCCGAGCAGATGAGGGCGACACGATCTAGAGCCCGTCTTTCCCCATCCCGACTTCGCCGATGCATTGACGATGCCGCGCGATCCTCCGACTCCATCTGCTCCGACCCGATTTGGACGGCCTCCCTTACTGTGGCTCCCGCAAGGAGAGAACGTCGTGACTATGGAGTGACGTCGGCCTGGCGGCGGTTGCCAGCGCAAGCGGCCGCAGGGCGGACTTAACTACCGCGTCCAGTGTCCGCATCCTTGTCGGAAACTTTGTGCCAGGTGTGTGCTGCTAGACTACAGGTCAGCCTCATCAGGCTTTTTGGGAGCGAAGGGAGGTTTTACATGACACAAGGATATGGAGGACCAGGCATAGTCACCCGACTCAGATCGTCACCAATAGCGAATATTGCCATGGAACGCTCGACACAGAACCGCAATCCAAATAACATTCTTGGGAAAGCTGCGGGCACAAGTTCATAATCAATGTATGTTTGGCATTGTAGCTATCAGTTGCAGTCTTGATGCTTTTTGTATATTTAATCGTTTCGCTCATTCCGCTGGCCCTGGAGCGCTATTTGGGGCCTCTTGGGGCCGTCTTGGGGGCTTCTTAGGGGGCTTCTTGGGAGCGTCTTGGGGCTCCTTGGCGGCGTATTGGGCTCCCCTGGGGCCTCTTGGGGGGCTCTTGGGGGCCCCTTGGGGCGGGAGGGGGGGTAGTCGTTGCCAGCCCCCCCCTGGGAGGCCACGATCCTCGTGAGGGGTGGCGAAAAATAGCCTCCCCCCTGGGGATCGCCCGGGGATCAGCCGGGGATCGGCCGGGGTACTTTTCGTCCGGGGCTCCCCAGGGGCCGCCCCGCGCGCGCGAACTAGAAATATTGTTAAGTAGTTACCGGAGATCTTAGCACGCCTCTGGCCCGTTGGGCCGGCGAATTCATCCCTTCCTGTATCAGCTGTGTTTTGACGTGTGTGCGCTCGCGTGTGCGTCCGTACTTGTGCGTGCGGTCCTTCAGAATTCAGCCAGTGATTCATGCAATCGATTGCACAGGGGTTCTGTCGTCGTCACAATGGGTGCAGTAGACTGTCGGCTGTTGTCTGGAGGGAATCCTTGCCACACTCGCCTAAGGATCGGGCCTGCCAGTTTTCTTTCGGTTGCCTCGAATGGCTATGTGGTGTGGCATGATTGTGTATCGCGTTTCATGTTTACGTTTCTCTTGTCTGTGTGCGTAGGGTTTTGTGGCATTCTGTGTGTTGCCCAAAGTTTTCCTATGATCCATGTAACGATGCTTGCGGCAGTCCTATGCCGCGCTCCAAGTACTCCACCGTGGTTCCTACGGGTCCCTGCGTATGTACATACCGAGAGCTGAGATCAAGCACGCAGGCAGGTGGGCAGGGGCGTGCGGGCGGGCATGCGGGCAAGTGACTAAACATGGTATTCAGCACCGACATTGTTGTGTTTGTGCAACGCAGCTCTAGCAACAGCGCGCAATCAGAAACAACCACGGGTAATCAGTCAAGCTTGACGACACACAAGGAAGCAAGCGCAACAAGAAATGTGGCAGCGAGCCTTTACGCAAGCAAGCAAATAATATCAAGCTAGTTCTAGCAAGCCGCAGCAAGCAAACATGCAACCCCTGGAGCAGATGCGTCCACTTTGCGCCCTACGCCGGATCAGCCAGACAACCCCCTCCAAATCTGGCGGATTAGGCTCCTGGGGGAGGGGTTCTCACACGACGGTGACACCCCAAGGGGTCTGCGATTTCCATGTTACCGTAATTGTTAGTGTTTGGTTTTGGAGGACCTTCACTCCAGAGTTGGGCGCAGGGCGCGACATCTTCTGTGCCAACGTCACGGTCCACAGTGTTCCAGAGTCGGCGACAATGGTTGACCAAGACAAGCGCTTCGGCAGTGAGGGGCGAGACGTGGAGGAAAACACATATTCTGTGCAGTGGGTGTCGGAAGTGGTGGGCCTTGGGCTTCAGAGGCCGTGGAAGCGGTCAAGCAGACCCGTCTGTGCATATAGCAAGACCCAGCTTCCTTCAGTGCCCCTCTAGGTATCACGGTCCCCGCTTCGAATTAGAACTGTGTGCACGCTCCGCTCGGCGAGGAGAAAATTTGTCATGTCCTTCCCATCCGCATCTCCACACACGCCCAATCCATCTGCTCACGCCCGATCCACGGAGCTTGCTGTGCCTGCGCGGGGGCACCTGTCCGAGGTGGCAATGTATACATGACCACCGCCTGGAGGATCAATTTCTGGGGACCTCGGCAGGCGGTGAATATGGATATATTCGGGCCCCCGGGGGCTGAAATAGATCCATACCCCTGCCCGTTGGGGCACCAGGACGTGAGTTCCCAGGCGGTGGATTTGGATAAATCCCCGCCTCGCGACCTGCTCCAGAGTCCCAGCCTCCCAGGGGGGGGCGGGAGGAAGCAGCAACCAGGAGGAGCGGGCCGATGACGAGGACGAGCGAAGACGAGGCAGCGCCCTCATCGCCCGACCAAGTGCCTCGAGGCACGGGAGTTCCTCGAACTTCTTTCTTCGTCTTTTGTTGGCTGCCATTGTTGGCGCCGTCGTCGTCTTCTTTTGGTACACATTGCTCGTTTTTCTTAATTCGAAAGTTCTTTAATATTTGGGGGGCCAGGATCCTGTCATTTCTAATTGATCTATCCTGGGTCTCTTCCTGGTCACTAGGGGGCCAGGAACAGTTAAAAACGTGCACCATTAAACATGAACGACGTGTATCCCTCCTTCTCATGTCGTCCTTCCTCCCTCCTGTCTTGCTTTCCTTGCTGTCGCTGCCGTGGTCCTCTTCCAGTCCTGCTGCTCGTGGAGGTCCTTCAGATCGGCCCCTCTCTCGTCGCCACATGGCTGCAGCTAGCCGGAAGAGGAGGAGGAAGAGGAGGAGGAGGAGGAGGAGTACCAGTGTAAACCCAAGATGTTCCCTCCAACTTTCCTTTTCACAGGTTCCTACAATACTTTGTTTTCGTTACAGCAGGTGGCCCGTTAAATGGCAGCCGTCCAGTGAGATCAACACATGAGAGATTCCCCCCTCAGATTCCAAAAAGGGGCAAACGGGGAGGTGCCTCGCAAGCACTGGAAACATGTCACAAAAAAAAAAAACAGATTTGCAGTGTAAGTGCGAGGGTTTGGGTACCCGTCGGGTTCCAAACTTTTTCGAACATCCAAGGTCGTCCCAAAACACAATTCTCAGGATTACAACTCCGCCAACCCATTGCGTCCTGACAATCCGCAATCGCGCCTGAACGTCGTTGCTGGGAGTTCAACACCGCGAATCTGCGTGAAAGTTGCGTCCCAACAGTGCGAAATCGTGCCAGGACACCATCCCTGGGACTCCAACCCTACGAATCCTTGAAACTGCAGCACGCAGTTGACACAAATATTCGCGGCGCTCGAGCGAGAGCATTGCTTGAAAAGGAACCAGCCTCCAGATTTGAAGCGAGAGCTCCACTGCGAGAGCTCCACCGCGAGGCGTTGAGGCGAGAGCTCCATTTCCAACACAACTCGTCCTCCATCCTTTTATCTGTTTTACAAGTCGAAGGCGAATGCGCGTGGCGCCAAGGCGAGAGTTTCAATTTTAAGACGGGCCACCTTCTATCCTTGAGGCTGTTGCAAATTTCAAGCTTCAGGGTCCGAAATGGTGAGGAGATCTCAGGCGGCATGCCCGCCCTGGCTTCTGGACACGTCTGAGGACGCGATAGGGAGGATTTGCTTATAAGGAAGATGGGAGCAGGAGGAGGAGGAGAAGGAGGAGGAGGAGGAGCGGTGCTGCGGGCTCTCTCTCTCTCTCTCTCTCTCTCTTTTAGCAGCATGGCTCCGTGCTCGGTGCTGCCTTCCTTCGCAGCTCGGCTGCCTCTTTCGCGTGGCAAGTTTGTGCGGAGGCTGACCCAGGTGCGTAGGTTCGCCCACGCGCGGGATCGGGCTCTGGACCCATTGGCATTGCAACCGGTCCGAGTGTGAGGCCAGGAGCCTAGGGTCGAGTAGCTCTGCTGACGGTCCATCGCCTGTGCTGCGCGCCGCTCATGCTTTGCCCAGTCGTGGCACGTTGGTGCCTACAGGCTCTGTCGCACGAGCGGAAGATGAATCAGGTGTGTAGGCTCGCTCACACAGGATCGGGCTCCGTTGCCAACGGCTATGCAACTGCCCCTTTTTGGGGCCTGCCCCAGGGAAGTGTTGCGACGCTGGTGGCGAGGTGTTGTCCTGCGGCGTGGCGCCCGACGCGCGCTTGCACCGCCTGGCACAATCTGTCTGGCGCGAGCGCCATTTCATCAGCAGCACTACCGCTGTGCTGCACTCACTGGCAGCAGCAGGCTGCCCCTTTTTACTGCCGCGAGGCGCGCCCTCCGTGCATTTCTGCCCTGAGCGGTAGCTTCGGAGGCTGACCCATGCTAGCACGGCATCCGTTCAATGTAGCTTCTGGCGCGTCGTGCGCGACAGCTGCCCGCAAGTCTGTCGGCGTGGAGGGCGACCCGAGAGCGTAGGTTCGCCCACGCTCTGGTTTGAACTCCGCAGGCCCGAGGAGCAACTGCGTCGGTCGTGTGGCCTGGTGCCGTGGATTTGGTTGCTTGTCAGGTGCGGCGTGCAGCAATGCTGTGTACCAGCCCGCTTTTCTGCGCAGCGTGGCCTCTGCTAACTGCCGCGCGGGCTGAGTCGTTCCGACTGCTAGGATCGGTCATCCGCTTGCCTCGGCTGAGGCGGTTGGTTGATTTCGCCACTCGGACGAATCTGCGTGTGTGCACCGGGGCGCACGTGACCCAGCGTTGCCACCGCAGGGCCAAAGGGAAACGCCTCGGTCCGAGGGGCAGTGCGAGCTAGGAGTTCCTGTTCCCTTCAGACGCGAGGATCATCATCATCATCATCATCATCATCATCATCATCATCATCATCATCATCATCATCATCATCATCATCATCATCATCATCATAAGCATCATCATCATCATCACCATCATCATCATCATCATCACCATCATCATCATCATCATCATCATCGTCACCACCATCATCAGCATCATCATGATCATCATCCTAATCCTCATGATCATGAACATTATCTACATCACCACCCGCATAATCATCATCACCATCATCATAATCTTCGTCATCATCATCAGCACCATCATCAGCATCATCATCGCCATCGTCAACATCATCATCAAAGTCATCATCATCCCCCTCATCATCCGCATCCTTCTCCCTCTCCTCCTCCTCCTCCTCCTCCTCTTCCTCCTCCTCCTCCTCCTCTTCCTCCTGACACCTGACACCGGATGACAGCGTTGTCGTCTGACGAAGCCTCCCCCTCCCGCTTCTCCACCTCCGTCTCCTTCTCCTCCTCCTCCTCCTCTTCCTCCTCCTCCTCTTCCTCCTCCTCCTCGTCCTCCTCCTCCTCCTCCTCCTCCTCCCGTCGTTATCCTCCTCGTCCTCTTCCTCCTCCTCCTCCTCGTCCTCTTCTTCTTCTTCCTCCTCCTCCTCATCCTTTTCCTCCTCCTCCTCCTCATCCCCTCCTCCTTTTCCTCCTCCTCCTCCTCCTCTCCTCCTCTTCCTCCTCCTCCTCCTCCTCCTCCTCCTACTCCTACTCTCCGACTCCGGCTCCTCCTCCTCCTCCTCCTCCACCTCCTCCTCCTCCTCCTCCTCCTCTTCCTCGCCCTCATCCTCCTCCTTCTCTTCCTCTTCCTCCCCCTCTTCTCCTCCTTCTTCTTCTCCCTCAACCTTCTCCTCCTTTTCCTCCTCCTCCTCCTCCTGCTCCGGTTCCTCCTGCTCCTCCCTCCCCCTCTTCTCCTCCTCCTTCTCCTCCTCTTCTCCTCCTCCTCCTCCTCCTCCCTCCTCCTCCTCCTCCCTCCTCCTCCTCCTCCCCTTCCTCCGCCTCCTCCTCCTCCTCCTCTTCCTCCTCCTCCTCCTCCTCCTCCTCCTCCTCCTCCTCCTCCTCCTCCTTTTCCTGCTCCTTCTTTTGTTCCTTCCTCCTCCTCCTCCTCCTCCTCCTCCTCCTCCACCCTCTCCTCCTCCCCTCCTCCTCCTCTTCCTCCTCCTCTCCTCCTCTCCTCTCCCCCTCTTCCTCTCCTCCTCCTCCTTTCCCTCTCCTCCTCCTCTCCTCCTCCTCCTTCTCATCATCATCATCGTCCTCCTCTTCCTGCTCCTCCTCCTCCCCTCCTCCTCCTCCTCCTCCTCCTCCTCCTCCTCCTCCTCCTCCTCCTCCTCCTCCTCCTCCTCCTCCTCCTCCTCCTCCTCCTCCTCCTCCTCCTCCTCCTCCCTGTCCTCCTCTTCCTCCTCTTCGTTGTTCCCTTCTTCTTCTTCTTCTTCTTCTTCTTCTTCCTGCTCTTGTCCCTCCAGCTTCTGCATGCTGTGCGTTCGTGCGGCTGTGGTCTGGGTGTCCTGCGGGCCTCCTGGCGGCCCCGTCCTGGCCTCGGTGCTGCGGGCCTGGCCCTCCTTGGCCGCCCCGAGGTCTCCCAGGCCCCGTCCGCGGGCGCCGCTGCGCCCCTGCCAGGAGGCAGAGACGCAGCTGCGCCTTGCGCTTGCCAGGCGCTGCGCTCGTCGCCGCAGACACCTGCCTTTCCCGCTCGCGCTCCCCGCCCGCACGCGCGCGCCGAACCATCGCTGCTCGACGCCTGGCGGCGTCGGGAGACGCGAGAGCGGTGGACGCGAGGCTCAGGGGCCCCTCCGGGGCCCCCGACTTGGCCGAAGTCGCCGCGCTTCGCCAGGACACCGCCCGCGGCATGTCCGGCATGGTTCCGGCGCGCCGGCAGGGGCAGGCGGGGGGCGGCCCATGGGTCGCCCAGCGCGATCCACCACTCGCAAAGTGCCTATTCGCAAACGTCCGAAAAACATGTGTCTGCTTTGGCTTAATTTATCGCAGGTCCCAGGCAGGGGATCCAGGCGATTTGCGAGTAGCTCCTTTGCGAGCAGTGGCACGCGCTCGTCGACTGGGGGGCGACATCGACCACCCATCGCCAGTCGGGGCCTCAGGTCCCCACCCGGCTCAGGAGCGCGCGTGTCTGCGGATCGCCGATGGATCGGCGATCTCTCGGTGATCCATCGACGATGCCAAATTAAAGATTTCCTCCCCTGAGCCAGTCCCTCCCCCTCCGCCCCCCTGTA